AATAATGCTTTTAAAAGGACATGCCCTGCGTTGGTGGAAATCTCAACAGGCTGGAGCAACCTTTCCACCAACCATCTCATATCAGGAGTTCATGGCCTCATTCAAAAATGCGTTCTTCCCTCGACAATGGCTAAGCCAGAAAAGGCGAGAGTTTGACAACCTGAAGCAAGGAGATAACACCGTAATGGCTTACAACTTGCGATTCTTTGAACTCTCCGAATGGTTCGATATTGAGGAAGATCGAGAGAGGAGACTAGCTGAACAATTTCTTGATGGTCTTCGGCCAAACATCAAGGAGGGCGTATCTTCGGGAGATATGACTGACCTAACCAGCATCAAACAGGCTGCGCTAAGGAGAGAATGCATAGAGGATGAAAAGAAGCAAGCATGGAGAGAGAAGGGCGAAAAGAGGAAGGCACACACCCAGCCTTCACAAACGGCTGGGAATAACATGGCTCGAAGGTTTAACCAAACCTACAGCGGGCAAGGCATTGCACGTTCAACTACACGTGCCAACACTGGACCTGCCGGATACCCGCCTTGCCAGATTTGCGAGAGGATGCACATGGGAGCGTGCAGAATGGCGTCCCAATCTATGGGTGTTGTATGCTACACTTGTGGTCAACCTGGACACAAGAGTTATCAATGTCCTTCCAGTCGTGCTGCACCTGCGCAGTCAGTGGGATCTGTGCAAGGACCAAGAGCTCCGTCCGGGAGGGGGACAAGAAGAGGAAGTCAAGGTGGCAACAACAACTTTAGAGGGACTGGAGCAAATGCTTATCCGCTGGGAAATCAAGGGTCCCAAACCGGAGGACAAGGAGCGGGAACACAAGCACAGGGCAGAGTTTTTGCTCTTACTCGTGGTGCTGCTGAGACCGCTCCAGATGTGGTCACCGGTACGATCTCTTTTATGGGCCAGAATTTATATGCATTATTCGATACTGGATCTTCGCACTCCTTCATATCGGAGAAGTGTGCATCAAAATTTCCTATTATGCCGGGAAAATTGAGTACCAGTCTAGGTGTACGAACACCTCTGGGTACTTCAGTAAGGGTAGATCGAATTCTGCCTAATTGTTGTGTTAAGATAGAAGAAGTAAAGTTGGAGGCAGAATTAATTATTCTGCCTTTCAACGAATTTGATGTCATACTTGGCATGGACTGGTTATCTCGACACAAAGCCGTGTTGGATTGGCAGAAGAAGGAGGTGCGTCTATTTGACGAACTTGGAAAACAAATCTTGTTCCAAGGCTTAAGAAGGAGAGAGTCTGAACCAATGGGCTTGATCTCGGTGATGGAAGTATACGCTTTGTTGAGAGAAGGATGTCAAGCATTCCTCGTCCAAGTGGAGACAAAGAATGAGGAAAAGCTGGAGGAAGTCAAGGTCGTAAATGAATTTCAGGATGTATTTCCTGATGATCTCCCCGGAGTCCCCATAGAACGAGAGGTGGATTTTAACATCGAGTTAGTACCTGGTACTGCTCCGATTTCAATCCCACCATACCGAATGGCGCCTGTGGAACTAAAAGAACTCAAAGAACAGTTGCAAGAACTGTTGGACAAAGGGTTCATACGACCCAGTACTTCACCTTGGGGAGCACCGGTCTTGTTCGTAAAGAAGAAAGATGGCTCTATGAGAATGTGCATAGACTACAGGAGGTTGAACAAAGCAACGGTCAAGAATCGATACCCGTTACCTCGCATAGACGATCTTTTTGATCAATTGCAAGGGGCCTCAGTCTTTTCCAAAATTGACTTGAGATCTGGGTATCATCAACTAAAAGTGGAAGAAAGTACAATACCGTTGACTTCCTTCCGAACAAGATATGGGCATTACGAATTTCTGGTCATGCCGTTTGGACTCACCAATGCGCCGGCAGTATTCATGGCTCTCATGAACAAAGTTTTCCATGAATACCTTGACAAATTCGTCATAGTATTCATCGACGACATCCTCATTTATTCAAAGAGTGAGGAAGAACATGCAGAGCATTTGAGGCTGGTATTACAAACTCTACGGGAGGAGGAGTTGTATGCCAAGTTCTCGAAATGTGAATTTTGGATCAAAGAAGTTCTATTCTTAGGACACGTGGTATCGGGAAGAGGAGTAGAAGTCGACCCAAAGAAGATTGAGGCAGTAGTAAACTGGTCTCCACCCAAAGATGTACCACAGTTACGTAGCTTTCTGGGATTGGCAGGCTACTATCGCCGATTTGAGGAAGGTTTCTCCAAAATAGCCTCACCATTGACAAAATTGTTGAGGAAAGAAACCCGATATGTCTAGTCGGAAGAATGCCAGAAAAGTTTCGAAGAACTTAAACGGAAACTTACTTCTGCTCCTATACTGACGTTGCCAGTAGAAGGAGGGGAGTATGTCGTTTATAGTGATGCTTCGTATCAAGGCTTGGGTTGCGTTCTGATGCAAAACGGGAAAGTAATTGCCTATGCCTCGAGACAATTGAGGCCACATGAAGTGAACTACCCAACTCATGATCTGGAATTAGCAGCTGTGGTGTTTGCGTTGAAATTATGGAGGCATTACCTTTATGGTGAGACCTTCAAAATTATGACCGACCACAAAAGTCTAAAATACCTCATGTATCAAAAAGAGTTGAATGGTAGACAAAGGCGATGGGTAGAGTTACTCAAAGACTACGACTGCACCATAGATTACCATCCTGGTAAGGCGAATGTTGTTGCTGATGCCTTGAGTCGTAGAGAAAGGCTACCAACGCTGGTGGAAATGAGAGCCCTGGGTGTGGAGATACAAGTTGAAAATATCACCACCCTGGTTGCACATCTAAGTATTCGACCGATGTTGCACGATCGAATCAAGATGGGGCAATTAGAAGATCCTGAGTGCATAAAAGCACGAGAGAATATTGAAGCAGGCAATGGAAATGGGTATGTGTTGGAAGAGGGCATACTCAAGATGAATGGACGAATGTGGGTACCGAAAGTGAAGGAGTTAAAAAGAGACATCTTGGAGGAAGCACACTCCTCACTTTATGCCATGCACCCGGGGACGACAAAAATGTATAATACCATCAAACCACACTTTTGGTGGCAAGGGATGAAACGAGAAGTTGCGGAGTATGTTCAATCATGTCTTATATGCCAAAAGACAAAGGCTGAACATCGTGCCTCGGCTGGACTCTTGCAATCACTGCCCGTACCAGAATGGAAGTTTGAGAAAATAACAATGGACTTTGTGACTGGATTTCCACCTACCAGGAGTGGTAAGGATGCTGTTTGGGTAATCGTAGATCGGATGACGAAAGTCAGCCACTTCATCCCAATTCGGTTTAAGCCAAGCATGGAGGAGCTAGCGAGACTCTACATAGCACATGTGGTGTGGTTACATGGAGTACCTGTATCCATTGTGTCAGATAGAGACCCTAGTTTCACTTCCCACTTCTAGAAGAGTTTGCATGAAGCAATGGGGACAAAACTCAACTTCTCAACTGCATATCATCCCCAAACAGACGGTCAATCGGAAAGGACGATCCTTACTCTAGAGGAAATTTTACGAACTTGCATGATGGAAGTGGAAGGAACTTGGACCGATTTACTACCGATGGTAGAGTTTGCTTACAATAACTCATACCACAGTAGTATTCAGGCTGCGCCTTTTGAAGCTCTTTATGGCAGGAAGTGTCGTACACCTCTATGCTGGGATATAGAGGGCACTCGAGTTCTTTCCGGACCAGAAATGATCCAAGAAACTACGGATAAGGTCAAAGTGATCAAAGAGAGACTGCGAGTAGCTCAAGATCGCCAGAAACTTTATGCCGACGGGAGAGCTCGTGAAGTAAGTTATGATGTGGGGGAAAAGGTGTTTCTAAAGGTATCACCATGGAAGGGATTAATGAGGTTTGGAAAGAAAGGGAAATTGGCACCTCGTTACATCGGTCCCTATGACATTATTGCCAAAATCAGGCCGGTAGCTTACAAACTTGAGTTACCTACGGAGTTGGAGAAGATTCACTGTCACGTCCCGATACTTTTTGAATAAACATCAAATAAAACTGTACTCCGGAGTACAAATATACTTTTATTTAAAACCGAAGTTTATACAAAGGCCCGAAACACGTGGGCAAAATCCTTACCCAAATAAACCACCGAAATAACTCCAGGAAATCTCCAGTATTTACTTAAACTGAAATGACAACATTTATTAAGCTTTAAACATACTCTGCAGCCATCTCGTCTTCTTGACGTCTGGATCCTTTCCTATCAGCGCCTAGCTCCTGCCTCTCTCGCTAAGTGAGGACCTGGTGAGTTGAGAGGGGTCAGTCTTTACCGCTCTACAACCTCAAGATATAAAATCTTATCCTGAAAGAACTCAAATAACTCCTGCCTCAAAGGCTACTCTGAAAGAAAAGTGGTCTCGTGGACCGAAACTGAAAAAAATAACTTTTGTGGCTATCTCATGCCCGCTGAGCCTACTTCTACAGCTATGGCACCACGTAAAAGCGGCTGGCACCATGCTTAAGTCAACTGCTGCCGTTTCCGCTCAGTCAGCGACCAACCCCATGGGATTAGGAGAAAACGCTTTTCCTCCTCTCTAACTCGGAAGATCAATGAAGATCAACCTACAGGTCTCTTGGACCTTCCTGAAACTGGTGGTCACTTAAGACCGAACCGAACCTGGTGGTCACTTGGACCTACTGATACTGGTGGTCACTGAAGACCGAACCGAACCTGGTGGTCACTTGGACCTACTGATACTGGTGGTCACTGAAGACCGAACCGAACCTGGTGGTCACTTGGACCTACTGATACTGGTGGTCACTGAAGACCGAACCGAAACTGATACTGAAATTGATACTACTGATACTTGCTAATGAAAGCATGTAAATAAACTAACGGTGTAGGCTCAGATTTTACCCCCTTAAAACTCACCTGGATAACTGGTGCTGAACGAGTTTATTCGTAGAAACTCCTGTCTCAGTTCCTCCTCCGGAATCCTGATAAAAGAACGAGTTTCCCCTCTCTCTTAGGCATCATTTCCTTTATAAAAATCCGGTAATTCATTCTCAAACACTATCGTTATCGCACAATCCACGTATAAGGTGGACGGTTTAAATCCTCGTACACGGTTCGTTAATCCTTAATCGGTGAAAATCACCAAGTAATTTGAAAGACGGACTTGCCGTGGTAAAAACTCCGAGAAAAGGAATGGGTGCCACTACTCGTAGCGCACTTCTTACAACCATAATCCCAAAGATTTCACCGGGTGAATTCCCAGGTAAGTGGGCGAGTACCACGAAGGTCTCGATTAAAAACCACTAGCCTTAGACAGAATCCCCCCATGGTAGCTGTCCATTATTCAAATTTTCACGATTGGTAGGGATTAATTTCAACATCGTAACTTCCCAATACTCGATTTAAGCATCATCCAATTCTACTCGAGTATTTAAATTATAATAACAACATCCTCTATTATATCTTCATTCAGAACCTCAGCTATGTTCAACATTCCATATATCGCATGCAGTAAAACATCGCCTATTTACCGTAGGGTCCACATACCTTATTTCTGACGGAACCTCGACTCTGCACAGCCATTGCAGACCGTCCTCGAGCACTTCGTCTCTCTTGCTCGACACTCCCTCTCTCTAGAACTGCCCTCTCTCTCTCTCTCTCTATTCGTTAATACGAATTTTGGTGTGAAATGGAAGTTGGAAATCCCCCCCCCCCCTTTTATAGGCTGATTTTTGGAAAAACCCTGTCTAATACCCTGTCGGGTATTTCAGGTTTCTGACCGGGTATTTTTAAAAAAATAATAAAAGTTAGGTCACGGTCGGACCACTGAAATACCCGGTCTGACCTAACTTAAATACCCGGTCGGGTTTTAAGGTAGGGTATTTTCCAGCCTACTTCGAACTAACTTATCTCACTCGTTTGGACTCGGATTTAAGATCTGTAAAATTCCACGTGATCGTAGAAGAATTCTCTAAATTGTGGAATCAAGATTTGTTCGAAATATCTGACACAACACTCCAGAATATTCGTCTTTTCCACAACCCATTTGCTGAGATCGCAAATTTCTTCCCCCACTTAAATTTTCGTTCGCTCCTTTCGTTTTGACCACGGAGATACACAAAATTTCTACGCACTGAAAACCACGAATAATCTTATATATAAATCTGAAGGTCGGGTGTTACATTTCCTCCCTACTTATAAAAATTTTGTCCCGAAATTTGAAGATCGGAAGGACCGACTGTAAGGCTATTACTGAAAAAGATCGGGGTATTTCTCCCTCATACTAATCTCCGTTTCCCACGTAGCTGCCTCGCTACCTTGGTTCCTCCAGACTACTTTTACCATAGCTATCTTCTTCCTTCGAAGCTGTTTCTCCTGCCTGTCAATTATCTGGACTGGGACCTCCTCAAAAGTCAAATCGTCTTCTAGTTGTATATCCTCGTGCCTAATTACATGATCGGGATTAAACCGATACGCTTTCAGCATGCTAACATGAAACACGTCATGTATCCTTGATAAACTGGGAGGTAAGGCTAGACGATAAGCTAAGGGCCCGATACGTTCAAGCACTTCGTACGGTCCTATATATCTGGGGCTGAGTTTCCCCTTCTTGCCGAACCTCATAACCCCCTTCCAAGGCGATACCCTCAGAAATACTCGATCTCCCACCTCATGCTGACGAGGATCTCCTGGTCTTTCGGCGTTGCTCTTCTGCCGATCTTGGGCTGCTTTCAAGTTCCGCCGAATGACCTCTATCTTCTCTAGTGATTTCTGGACCATCTCTGGTCCCTCCAACTGTCTCATGCCCTCGGCATCCCAACATAAAGGGGTACGACATTTCCTTCCATACAACACTTCATATGGGGCTGCCTGAATCGAGCTATGATATTGGTTGTTGTAGGCGAACTCCAACAACGGTAAGTGTGTATCCCATGCTCCCTTCATGGTTAAGACACATGCCCTTAACAGATCCTCCAAGGTCTGAATCGTCCTTTCTGACTGCCCATCGGTTTGTGGGTGATAGGCGGTCGAAAAGTACACCTTCGTGCCCAACGCCTTTTGGAAACTGCTCCAGAATCGTGAGGTAAAGGATGGATCGCGATCAGACACGATGCTGACAGGGACTCCATGCAGCCGCACAATTTCCTTAATGTACAGCTCTGCAAGTTCCTCCATGCCTGGTTTGAACTTGATGGGTATGAAGTGAGCAGACTTTGAGAAACGATCTACTATAACCCATACTCCATCATTACCTCTCGGGGTCCTGGGTAACCCGTACACGAAATCCATAGTGACTTTCTCCCAAGTCCACTGAGGAATTTCAAGTGGTAAATGTTCGATAACTGGGGCTTGGTGTTCGTCTTTTATCATCTGGCACTCCAAACATTGGAAAACGTGTGTTGCCACATCCTTCTTCAGTCCTGGCCACCAGAAATGCTCCCTTAGGGTGCGGTACATCTTGGTAGCTCCTGGATGCATCGCATAAGGTGCAGAATGTGCCTCGTCCAGAATGTCTTCCCTCAGTTTATCGACATCTGGCACGCACAACCTGCCTTTACACAATAGCACTCCATCTTCTAATCGGAACTTCGTATCCTTCCCTTCTAGAACTTCCTTCTTACGTTTCTCCAAGCTAGGATCCTCGCTCTGCTTCTCCTTGATCCGTTCTTGTAGCATTGGTCGAACTTTCAGAGTGGCTAACAGCTTAGTCACCTCCTCAAGTTCTAACTCCACATTCATGGCCCTCAAAGCGACTAATTCTGGAAGTGGACTTTCCCTCTTCCTGCTTAGTGCGTCTGCTACCACGTTCGCCTTTCCTGGGTGGTACTTGATAGTACAATCATAGTCGCTTAAGAGTTCTAGCCACCTTCTCTGCCTCATGTTCAACTCCTTCTGGTCCGTCAAATGTTGGAGACTTTTGTGGTCAGTAAAGACCGTGAAAGTCTCGCCATACAGGTAATGCCTCCACAACTTAAGTGCAAATACCACGGCTGCCAACTCTAGGTCATGCGTCGGGTAGTTCACTTCATGTGGTCGCAGTTGCCTTGAGGCGTAAGCGATTACCTTCTTGTCTTGCATTAATACACAACCTAACCCTTGGTGAGATGCATCGCTGTAAATGCAATACTCCCCACCACTGGTCGGTAATGTTAACACCGGTGCTGACGTCAGCTTCTCCTTTAGTACTTCAAATGCTTTCTTGCATTTCTCATCCCAAGTAAATGCCTTTCCCTTCTGGAGTAACTGGGTTATTGGTTTTGCGATGCTGGCAAAACCCTCTACGAACCTCCGATAATACCCAGCTAATCCCAAAAAACTTCGTACTTCCGAGACATTTTTGGGAGGGGCCCAATTCATCACAGCCTCAATCTTCTTGGGGTCCACTTCAACTCCTCTGCCAGAGACCATGTGGCCTAAGAACATGATCTCTTCCAGCCAGAAATCGCATTTGGAGAACTTAGCGTATAGCTCCTCCTCCTTTAACTTTTGCAGTACTCGTCTTAGGTGCTCTTCGTGCTCCTGCCCGCTTTTCGAGTAAATGAGTATGTCATCGATGAACACGATGACAAATTTGTCAAGATACTCATGGAGTACTCGATTCATTAATGCCATAAAAGCGGCTGGGGCATTCGTCAAGCCGAAAGGCATGACCAAGAACTCATAGTGGCCATATCGGGTTCGGAAAGCTGTCTTAGGGACCGAACCGTCTGCCACTCGAAGTTGATGATATCCTGACCGCAAATCGATCTTTGAGAATACCATCGCTCCTTGCAGCTGATCAAAAAGATCATCTATCCTTGGTAGAGGATAGCGATTCTTGATGGTTGCCTTGTTCAACTTTCGATAGTCGATACACAGCCTCATGCTCCCATCCTTCTTCTTCACGAACAGAACTGGTGCTCCCCATGGTGAAACACTAGGACGGATAAAACCCATCTCCAGTAATTCTACCAATTGCTTCTTTAGTTCCTTGAGCTCCACTTGCGCCATTCGATAAGGTGGAATAGAGATGGGTGCTGTACCGGGAACCACCTCTATGTCGAATTCCACCTCCCTCTGTGGCGGTAATCCTGGAAGAGCTTCGGGGAATACCTCGGGGTAATCCCTCACTATTGGCACATCCTCCAACTTCTTTTCCTGCGCTACTTTGACGTGGCACAAGTATGCCTCGCAACCTTCTTGAATTAGGGCAAAGGCTTTCATTGCGGAGATCAGTCCTCCCGGAACCAACTTCCTGGTTCCCTGAAATAGAGCTGTGCCCTTTCTTTCTATTTCAAAGCTAACTTCCTTTTTGTAGCAATCTACCTTCGCTCTGTTCTTGGACAACCAGTCCATTCCCAGAACGACATCGATTTCATCGAAAGGTAGTAAGATCAAGTTCGCCTCGATCTCGTACCCAGCTACAATTATCGGACAATCTCTGATGACGGAGTCCACTATTAAGGTGTCTCCTATGGGAGTTCTTACTCCTAGGTTCTGGCTCAACTTTATGGATGGTAACCTTAGCATTCTATCAAATTTATCTGCTATAAAAGAATGCGTAGAGCCTGAATCGAATAATACGAAAGCAGGACGACCGTAAAGATAAACCGTACCAGTCACCACTTCTGGAGCTTCCTCGGCTTCATCCCTTCTCGCCGCAAAAAGCCGCGGTTGACCACCTGCCGGAGGCGCCTGGCCTCTGTTCTGCTCATTGCGGTTGAATTGCCCATCTTGGCCTCCAGGTCGGTTTGGCTGCCTGCCAAACTGGTTTGTGGGCCGATTCCCGTCTCCCCCACCATATCCCTTCTTATTCGGGCATTCTCTGGCGAAATGGCCCTTCCCGCCACAGATGTAGCATCCGCCGAAATCCACCTTGCACTCGCCTGAGTGGCCTCTCCCACACTTGTTACAAAGAGGTCGGTTGCCATAGGTCGGACCTGTCCGGGGTGGACCGTTCTGTCCCTGGTTTCCCCTATAATGGGTCGGCCCACTCGGCCTCCTCTTGATCTGCCCTTCGTTACTGGGCCCTCCTGACGTGCTCCCGAACTTCCTCTTGGAGTTCTCCCTTTGCATCCTGTCTTCGTGGATGTGCTGATCCACTCTTTCTAGGCGGAGTGCCGCCTGATAGATGTCCTCACGACTGGTCCAATTCTGGGTACTCAACCCCCGCCTAAGATCAGGCCTCAGGTTCTCTAGATAGTGGTTACGCTGGATCTTCTCATCGCGAAATGAAAGTCCCCCGTAATCCAACAACCTTTCGAAACGAGTCGTGTATTCCGCCACCGACTCCCTTCCATCAGGACCCGACTTCTGCTTGATCAGCAAAAATTCCCTTCTCTTGGCATTCCGATACACCTCTGGGATGTAGTGATCTCGGAACATTAGCACAAATTCTTCCCACGTACAAGCTGGTGGATCCTCCTGGCTTACTGGTTGATTCGACCACCAGTCGTAAGCCGAGTCCTGTAGTAAGGACACTGTCAGAAGCACTCGATCCTCGTCGTCAGCTCGCATCTCTTGTAGTGTGCGTGAGACTTTGGACAACCACCTTTCGACCAAGGTGGGGTCCATCGATCGATCTCCGTAGAAATCCTCCACTTTCCGACTCCGGAAAGTCTTGTAGTCTGGCGGAGGCCTACACTGGAGTGGTTGGTCGTGAACGTCTCCTCCTCTACAGGTTAAGCATGATTTATTAGCTTTGTGTCATTATCTTGTTACAGTTTTAGTAGACTGGAGACACCTATGAGTTTTAAAAAGGAACCTTGACTCACTTTTGGCCATAAACCTTTGACTTTCAAGACTCCTTTTCCTTGAAATGACCAATTTCTTTTAAGACAACTCAGACCGTTACCCCAGTATTTCTTGGAGACCAAGAAACAGAGGAGTTCCGGCTCTGATACCAAAATGTCACGTCCCGATACTTTTTGAATAAACATCAAATAAAACTGTACTCCGGAGTACAAATATACTTTTATTTAAAACCGAAGTTTATACAAAGGCCCGAAACACGTGGGCAAAATCCTGACCCAAATAAACCACCGAAATAACTCCAGGAAATCTCCAGTATTTACTTAAACTGAAATGACAACATTTATTAAGCTTTAAACATACTCTGCAGCCATCTCGTCTTCTTGACGTCTGGATCCTTTCCTATCAGCGCCTAGCTCCTGCCTCTCTCGCTAAGTGAGGACCTGGTGAGTTGAGAGGGGTCAGTCTTTACCGCTCTACAACCTCAAGATATAAAATCTTATCCTGAAAGAACTCAAATAACTCCTGCCTCAAAGGCTACGTCTGGATCCTTAAGTCAACTGCTGCCGTTTCCGCTCAGTCAGCGACCAACCCCATGGGATTAGGAGAAAACGCTTTTCCTCCTCTCTAACTCGGAAGATCAATGAAGATCAACCTACAGGTCTCTTGGACCTTCCTGAAACTGGTGGTCACTTAAGACCGAACCGAACCTGGTGGTCACTTGGACCTACTGATACTGGTGGTCACTGAAGACCAAACCGAACCTGGTGGTCACTTGGACCTACTGATACTGGTGGTCACTGAAGACCGAACCGAACCTGGTGGTCACTTGGACCTACTGATACTGGTGGTCACTGAAGACCGAACCGAAACTGATACTGAAATTGATACTACTGATACTTGCTAATGAAAGCATGTAAATAAACTAACGGCGTAGGCTCAGATTTTACCCCCTTAAAACTCACCTGGATAACTGGTGCTGAACGAGTTTATTCGTAGAAACTCCTGTCTCAGTTCCTCCTCCGGAATCCTGATAAAAGAACGAGTTTCCCCTCTCTCTTAGGCATCATTTCCTTTATAAAAATCCGGTAATTCATTCTCAAACACTATCGTTATCGCACAATCCACGTATAAGGTGGACGGTTTAAATCCTCGTACACGGTTCGTTAATCCTTAATCGGTGAAAATCACCAAGTAATTTGAAAGACGGACTTGCCGTGGTAAAAACTCCGAGAAAAGGAATGGGTGCCACTACTCGTAGCGCACTTCTTACAACCATAATCCCAAAGATTTCACCGGGTGAATTCCCAGGTAAGTGGGCGAGTACCACGAAGGTCTCGATTAAAAACCACTAGCCTTAGACAGAATCCCCCCATGGTAGCTGTCCATTATTCAAATTTTCACGATTGTTAGGGATTAATTTCAACATCGTAACTTCCCAATACTCGATTTAAGCATCATCCAATTCTACTCGAGTATTTAAATTATAATAACAACATCCTCTATTATATCTTCATTCAGAACCTCAGCTATGTTCAACATTCCATATATCGCATGCAGTAAAACATCGCCTATTTACCGTAGGGTCCACATACCTTATTTCTGACGGAACCTCGACTCTGCACAGCCGTTGCAGACCGTCCTCGAGCACTTCGTCGCTCTTGCTCGACACTCCCTCTCTCTAGAACTGCCCTCTCTCCCTCTCTATTCGTTAATACGAATTTTGGTGTGAAATGGAAGTTGGAAATCCCCCCCCCTTTTATAGGCTGATTTTTGGAAAAACCCTGTCTAATACCCTGTCGGGTATTTCAGGTTTCTGACCGGGTATTTTTAAAAAAATAATAAAAGTTAGGTCACGGTCGGACCACTGAAATACCCGGTCTGACCTAACTTAAATACCCGGTCGGGTTTTAAGGTAGGGTATTTTCCAGCCTACTTCGAACTAACTTATCTCACTCGTTTGGACTCGGATTTAAGATCTGTAAAATTCCACGTGATCGTAGAAGAATTCTCTAAATTGTGGAATCAAGATTTGTTCGAAATATCTGACCCAACACTCCAGAATATTCGTCTTTTCCACAACCCATTTGCTGAGATCGCAAATTTCTTCCCCCACTTAAATTTTCGTTCGCTCCTTTCGTTTTGACCACGGAGATACACAAAATTTCTACGCACTGAAAACCACGAATAATCTTATATATAAATCTGAAGGTCGGGTGTTACATTCACAATGTCTTTCACGTGAGTATGTTGAAGAAGTATCATGTGGATCCCTCTCATGTCATACAACAAGAAGAGGTGATTCTGGAACCTGATTTGACTTACGAAGAAAGCCAGTGAGTATCGTAGACCAACAGATACGAGTGCTGAGGAACAAACGCATTCCGATGCTTAAAGTCATTTGGAGAAATCACGAGGGAGAAGCGGCAACTTGGGAGACTGAAGAAAGTATGAGGAAGAAATACCCTGAGTTAGTCGAAGTATACTCTACGAATATGCCTCCCAACTAATGCTCGTTGTATTAAATCAACAATGTCGATAATGTATCGAATTTATGAATAAAAAGTCAGAAGAGACTTTGGTCATACTATCCGATTTCGGGGAAGAAATCCAATTAAGTAGGGGAGAGTTGTAACATCCCAAGCCCGGGATATTAAATTAAATTGGTTCGATAATTGGGATAATATTTTCCCCAATTATATCGAAGACTCAACGCCAAAAATCGAAGGAACGAACGAGAATTGAAGTGGGCTGGAGGAAGGAATTAACCGGTCAAACCAGAAAAATATAACCGGCCGGGTATATTCCCAAAATACCCGATCGGGTATTTTAGTGGACTGACCGGGTATTTTTGTTAGGTCAGACCGGGTTTTATTGTTAGGTCAGACCGGGTTTATTTCCTTAAAATACCCGACCGGGTATTAAATTAGGTCAGACCGGGGATTTAGCTGGTCCGACCGGGGATTTTTGCCGGTTAAAAGAAGTATTTTTTTAAAAAATACCCGACCACTAACCAGAATACCCGACCGGGTATTTGGACCGGGTTTTCTGACCAGCAGCCTATAAAAGGGGGAAAATCGGCCAACTTTCATTTCACACCAAATTTTCGTATAACCGAGTTAGAGAGAGAGAGGGCAGTTTCTAGAGAGAGAGAAGGTGACAAGCAAGAGCGACGAAGTGCTCGGGATTGGTCTTCAACAGCTGTGCAGAGTCGAGATTTCGGCATAAATAAGGTGTGTGGACCCTGCGGTGAATAGGCGGTATTTTACTACGTGCTATATGTTTACTATTGAAACATAGCTGAGGATTTAACGAAGATAAAATGAAGAATGTCGTTATTATCGTTATTATGATTTGAGATACTCGAGTAGAATTGGATGATTCATAATCGAGTATTTGGAATTTACGATTTGTAATTGATCCCTACGAATCGTGAAATTCCTTGAGACTTTGTTGTAACTATTTCAATAATTCATGACGTGTTATCAGGCCATGAGTTATGTGAAAGTACGCCGGTGATTGAATAATTACCCTAATACGACTATTCGGGATAATTGTTAAACCACAATCGGATTCGTGAAGATTTGAATAATGGACAGCGACCATGGGAGAATTCTGTCTAGGCTAGTGGTTTTTAATCGAGACCTTCGTGGTACTCGTCCACTTACCTGGGAATTCACCCGGTGAAATCTTTTGGGAATATGGTTGTAAGAAGTGTACTACGAGTAGTGGCACTCATTCCTTTTCTCGGAGTTTTACCACGGCGGGTCCGCCATTCGAATTACTCGGTGTTCCACCGAATAAATAGTTATCGAACCATGTACGAGGATTCAAACCTCCCACCTTATACGTTGTAGGTAATGACGATATTGGTTACGAATGAATTTCTACTCGATAATTGAATGAATGATTTGATGATTTTGGTATGCATGATATACCCTGTGGCATAGACTTGGTAATTACACCAAGATCGATTGAGAAGGATGATTTTATATTGAGATTATGATGAGAACGATGATTTTATATGAGGATCATATTAATCACATAGACGTAGAAAGGGCCTATGACCTACCCCTATGAGATTGATTGGGCTGCGGTCCTAATGAGAGGATTTATGAAAATCCTAGATTTGATGAGTGGTTTCTGATATAACCACTGAGATGATGAGGCTCGAGCGGGGTGGGCGTATGGTGACCTTGGCGCCTAAATTAATAAAATGGAAATGCATTGCACTTGCATACTATCTGAATATTGGATGCTAGGTTGAGAATTATATTAGGTTGAGACTTCAACCTAGATGCCATGATTTAGGTGGTTAATCGATTGATGTGGAAAAATATCCATAGACTTCGCCGTGTAGGAGGGAACAGCGCCACCACTCAGCTAAATTAGTTAGCTGTCCCACTCCCCTTTTGTGTTCAGATCCGCAGCAGAGGAACTGAGCTTGTACGTTGGAGCTGTGTACTGCTGCTCCATCATTAGGTAGCGGACGATTGGTCGGTGGAGAGTTTTTACCTATGTTCTGTATTTTAAAACGAGTATCATAAACATGTACTATTCTGGATTTGATTGCATCGAACTTGATCGTTTGAGTCATTATGATTTATGGATTGTACCAAAGCATGTAAGAGGGAGATTTGAGTTAATATTTGGATTTGAGGTCAAGAGTTGGATATTGTATAATAAATGAGTTTGGATATTAATAAAGGTGTTAGATTTGATATATATATATATATATATATATGTTCACCTCGAGTTATGTTTAGTAAACGAAAGTTGCATATGAGTTGAATGATGAGTTATTACGTAAACCCCGTTAGTATTTTCCGCTGCGCGGTTGAACCGGTGGTTCGACCCAATGAGAATTAGGGTGGGGTGTTACATTAGTCGCCCTAGAAATTACGAAAATGCCATTCGAAAATATATTGGCCCAAATCGATGCTTAACGGACTTATCATCCGTGGAGTATATGATCAATAAACTTCATTATCGGTGGAGAATAGCCTCGTCCTGATTCCGCGATCAGTAGCCTTCAGAATCGAAAGAAAATGGCATTTCTGATAAATCGCCCGAAATCTGTGATGGTACCCCTTTCGAATCTGCCAAAAATTGACCCTGGAATAAATCCGCCCAAATCGGTCCTTAATGAACTCAATCATCGTTGGAGAATGGCCTTAGGCCGAATCCGTGATCTGTATCCTTCAATATCCAAAGAAAATGGCCTTTCGTCGACCAAGAAATTACGAAAATGTCGTTCGAAAATAAATTGGCCCAAATCGATGCTTAACGGACTTATCTTCCGTGGAGAATAGGATCAATAGACTTCATTATCGGTGGAGAATAGCCTCGGCCTGATTCCGTGATCTGTAGCCTTCAGAATGTAAAGAAAATGGCATTTCGGATAAATCGCCCAGAATAAGTGATGGTACCCCTTTGGAATCTGCCAAAAATTGACCCGGAACAAATCCGTCCAAATCGGTGCTTAATGGACTCAATCATCGTTGGAGAATAGCTTCAGGCCAAATTCGTGATCTGTAGCCTTCAATATCAAAAGAAAATGGCCTTTCGTCGCCCAAGAAATTACGAAAATTACATTCGAAAATATATTGGCCCAAATCGATGCTTAACGGACTTATCATCCGTGGAGAATATGATCAATAGACTTCATTATCGGTGGAGAATAGCCTCGTCCTGATTCCGCGATCAGTAGCCTTCAGAATCGAAAGAAAATGGGATTTCGTAAAAATCGCCCGAAATCTGTGATAGTACCCCTTTCAAATCTGCCAAAAATTGACCCAGAACAAATCCGACCAAATCGGTGCTTAATAGACTCAATCATCGTTGGAGAATAGCTTCAGGCCGAATTCGTGATCTGTAGCCTTCAATATCCAAAGAAAATGGCCTTTCGTCGCCCAAGAAATTAAGAAAATGTCATTCGAAAATAAATTGGCCGAAATCGATGCTTAACGGACTTATCATCTGTGGAGAATAGGATCAATAAACTTCATTATCGGTGGAGAATAGCCTCGGTCGGATTCCGTGATCTGTAGCCTCCAGAATCGAAAGAAAATGGCATTTCGGAGAAATCGTCCAAAATCTGTGATGGTACCCCTTTGGAATCTGCCAAAAATTGACCCAGAATAAATCCGCCCAAATCGGTGCTTAATGAACTTAATCATCGTTGAAGAATAGCCTCAGGCCGAAACCGTGATCTGTAGCCTTTAATATCCCAAGAAAATGGCCTTTCATCGCCCAAGAAATTATGAAAAATGCCATTCGAAAATAAATTGGCCGAAATCGATGCTTAACGGACTTATCATCTGTGGAGAATAGGATCAATAGACTTCATTATCGTTGAAGAATAGCCTCGGCCTGATTCCGTGATCTGCAATCTCAAGAATCGAAAGAAAATGACAATTCGGATAAATCGCACGAAATCTGTGATGGTACCCCTTTGGAATCTGTCAAAAATTGACCAGAAATAAATCCACCCAAATCGGTGCTTAATGGACACAATCATCGTTGGAGAATAGCCTCAGGGTGAATCCGTGATCTGTCGCCTTCAATATCCAAAGAAAATGGCCTTTCGTCGCCCAAGAAATTACGAAAATGCCATTCAAAAATAAATTGGCCCAAATCGATGCTTAGCGGACTTATCATCCGTGGAGAATAGGATCAATAGACTTCATTATCGGTGGAGAATAGCCTCATCCTGATTCCGTGATCTTTAGCCTCCAGAATCGAAAGAAAATGGCATTTCGGATAAATCGCCCGAAATCTGTGATGGTACCCCTTTGGAATCTGCCAAAAATTGACCCTGGAATAAATCCGCCCTAATCGGTCCTTAATGGACTCAATCATCGTTGGAGAATAGCCGTAGGCCGAATCCGTGATCTGTAGCCTTCAATATCTAATGAAAATGGCCTTTCGTCGCCCAAGAAATTACGAAAATGTCGTTCGAAAATAAATTGGCCCAAATCGATTCTTAACGGACTTATCATCCGAGGACAATAGGATCAATAGACTTCATTATCGGTGGAGAATAGCCTCGGCCTGATTCCGTGATCTGTAGCCTCCAGAATCGAAAGAAAATGACATTTTGGATAAATCGCCCAGAATAAGTGATGGTACCCCTTTGGAATCTGCCAAAAATTGACCCGGAAAAAATCCGCCCAAATCGGTTCTTAATGGACTCAATCATCGTTGGAGAATAGCTTCAGGCCAAATCCGTGATCTGTAGCCTTCAATATCCAAAGAAAATGGATTTTCGTCGCCCAAGAAATTACGAAAATGCCATTTGAAAATATATTAGCACAAATCGATGCTTAACGGACTTATCATCCGTGGAGAATATGATCAATAGACTTCTTTATCGGTGGAGAGTAGCCTTGTCCTGATTCCGCGATCAGTAGCCTTCAGAATCGAAAGAAAATGGCATTTCGGATAAATCGCTCGAAATCTGTGATGGTACCCCTTTCGAATCTGCCAAAAATTGACCCAGAACAAATTCGACCAAATCGGTGCTTAATGGACTCAATCATCGTTGGAGAATAGCTTCAGGCCGAATTCGTGATCTGTAGCCTTCAATATCCAAAGAAAATGGCCTTTCGTCGCCCAAGAAATTAAGAAAATGCCATTCGAAAAAAATTTGGCCGAAATCGATACTTAACGGACTTATCATCCATGGAGAATAGGATCAATAGACTTCATTATCGGTGGAGAATAGCCTCGGTCTGATTCCGTGATCTGTAGCCTCCAGAATCGAAAGAAAATGGCATTTCGGAGAAATCGTCCGAAATCTGTGATGGTACCCCTTTGGAATCTGTCAAAAATTGACCCGGAATAAATCCGCCCAAATCGGTGATTAATGAACTCAATCATCGTTGGAGAATAGCCTCAGGACGAATCCGTGATCTGTAGCCTTTAATATCCCAAGAAAATGGTCTTTCATCACCCAAGAAATTACAAAAAATTCCATTCGAAAATAAATTGGCCGAAATCGATGCTTAACGGACTTATCATCTGTGGAGAATAGAATCAATAGACTTCATTATCGTTGGACAATAGCCTCGTCCTGATTCCGTGATCTGCAGTCTCAAGAATCGAAAGAAAATGATAATTCGGATAAATCGCACGAAATCTGTGATGGTACCCCTTTGGAATCTGCCAAAAATTGACCAGGAATAAATCCGCCCAAATCTGTGCTTAATGGACACAATCATCGTTGGAGAATAGCCTCAGGCCGAATCCGTGATCTGTCACCTTCAATATCCAAAGAAAATGGCCTTTCATCGCCCAAGAAATTACGAAAATGTCGTTCGAAAATAAATTGGCCCAAAACGATGCTTAACGGACTTATCATCCGTGGAGAATAGGATCAATAGACTTCATTATCGGTGGAGAATAGCCTCGACCTAATTCTGTGATCTGTAGCCTCCATAATCGAAAGAATATGGCATTTCGGATAAATCGCCCAGAATAAGTGATGGTACCCCTTTGGAATCTGTCAAAAATTGACCCGGAATAAATCCGCCCAAATCGGTCCTTAATGGACCCAATCATCGTTGGAGAATAGCCTTAGGCCGAATACGTGATCTGTAGCCTTCAATATCCGAAGAAAATGGCCTTTCGTCGCCCAAGAAATTACGAAAATGTCGTTCGAAAATAAATTGGCCCAAATCGATGCTTAACGGACTTATCATCTGTGGAGAATAGGATCAATAGACTTCATTATCGGTGGAGAATAGCCTCGGCCTGATTCCGTGATCTGTAGCCTCCAGAATCAAAAGAAAATGGCATTTCGGATAAATCGCTCACAATAAGTGATGGTACCCCTTTCCCTTTGGAATCAGCCAAAAATTGACCCGGAATAAATCCGCCCAAATCAGTGCTTAATGGACTCAATCATCGTTGGAGAATAGCTTCAGGCCAAATCCGTGATCTGTAGCCTTCAATATCCAAAGAAATTGGCCTTTCGTCGCCCAAGAAATTACGAAAATGCCATTCGAAAATATATTGGCCCAAATCGATGCTTAACGGACTTATCATCCGTGGAGAATATGATCAATAGACTTCATTATCGGTGGAGAATAGCCTCATCCTGATTCCGCGATCAGTAGCCTTCAGAATCGAAAGAAAATGGCATTTCGAATAAATCGCCCGAAATCTGTGATGGTACCCCTTTCGAATCTTCCAAAAATTGACCCAGAACAAATCTGACCAAATCGGTGCTTAATTGACTCAATCATCGTTGGAGAATCACTTCAGGCCAAATCCGTGATCTGTAGCCTTCAATATCCAAAGAAAATGGCCTTTCGTCGCCCAAGAAATTACGAAAATGCCATTCGAAAATATATTGGCCCAAATCGATGTTTAACGGACTTATCATCCGTTGAGAATTGGATCAATAGACTTCATTATCGGTGTAGAATACCTCGGCATGATTCCGTGATTCGTAGCCTCTAGAATCGAAAGAAAATTGAATTTCGGATAAATCGCCCGAAATCTGTGATGGTACCCCTTTGGAATCTGCAAAAATTGACCAGGAATAAATCCTCCCAAATCGGTGCTTAATGGACTCAATCATCGTCGGAGAATAGCCTCAGGCCGAATTCGTGATCTGTAGCCTTCAATATCCAAAGAAAATGGCCTTTCGTCGCCCAAAGAATTACGAAAATGCCATTCGAAAATAAATTGGCCCAAATCGATGCTAGACGGACTTATCATCGGTAGAGAATAGGATCAACAGACTTCATTATCGGTGGAGAATAGCCTCGACTAATTTCGTGATCTGCAGTCTCCAGAATCGAAAGAAAATGACAATTCGGATAAATCGCACGAAATCTGTTATGGTACCCCTTTGGAATCTGCCAAAAATTGACCAGGAATAAATCCACCCAAATCGGTGCTTAATGGACACAATCATCGTTGGAGAATAGCCTCAAGCCGAATCCGTGATCTGTATCCTTCAATATCCAAAGAAAATGGCCTTTCGTCGCCCAAGAAATTACGAAAATGGCATTCGAAAATAAAATTGCCCAAATCGATGCTTAGCGGACTTATCATCCGTGGAGAATAGGATCAATAGACTTAATTATCGGTGGAGAATAGCCTCGTCCTGATTCTGTGATCTGTAGCCTCCATATTCGAAAGAAAATGGCATTTCAAATATATCGCCCGAAATCTGTGATGGTAGCCTTCAATATCCAAAGAAAATGGCCTTTTGTCGTTCAAGAAATTTTGAAAATGACATTCAAAAATACATTGGCCCAAATCGATGCTTAACGGACTTATCTTCCTTGAAGAATAGAATCAACAGACTTCATTATCCCTTGAGAATAGCCTCGGCCTGATTTCGCGATCTGTAGCCTCCAAAATCGAAAGAAAATGGCATTTCAGATAAATCGCCCGAAATCTGTGATGGTACCCCTTTGGAATCTGCCAAAAATTGACCCGGAATAAATCCGCCCAAATCGGTGCTTAATGGACACAATCATCGTTGGATAATAGCCTCAGGCCAAATCCGTGATCGGTAGCCTTCACTATCAAAAGAAAATGGCCTTTCGTCGACCAAGAAATTACTAAAATGCCATTCGAAAATAAATTGGCCCAAATCGATGCTTAGCAGACTTTTCATCCGTGGAGAATAGGATCAATAGACTTCATTATCGGTGGAGAATAGCCTCGTCCTGATTCTGTGATCTGTAGCCTCTAGAATCAAAAGAAAATGGCATTTCAGATAAATCGCCCGAAATCTATGATGGTACCCCTTTGGAATCTGCCAAAAATTGACCCGGAATAAATCCGCCCAAATCGGTGCTTAATGGAGTCAATCATCGTTGGAGAATAGGCTCAGGCCGAATCAGTGATCTGTAGCCTTCAATATCCAAGGAAAATGGCCTTTTGTCGCTCAAGAAATTATGAAAATGACATTCAAAAATAAATTGGCCCAAATGATGCTTAACGGACTTATCTTCCTTGAAGAATAGAATCAATAGACTTCATTATCGGTGGAGAATAGCCTCGGCCTGAATCCGTGATCTATAGCCTCCAGAATCGAAAGAAAATGGCATTTCAGATAAATCGCCCGAAATCCCTTTGGAATCTGCCAAAAATTGACCCGGAATAAATCCGCCCAAATCGGTGCTTAATGGACTCAATCATCGTTGGAGAATAGCCTCAGGGCAAAACCGTGATCTGTAGCCTTCAATATCCAAAGAAAATGGCCTTTCGTTGCCCAAGAAATTACGAAAATGCCATACAAAAATAAATTGGCCCAAATCGATGCTTAACGGACTTATCATCCGTGGAGAATAGGATCAATAGACTTCATTATTGGTGTAGAACAGCCTCGTCCTGATTCCGTGATCTGTAGCCTCCAGAATCGAAAGAAAATGGTATTTCAGATAAATCGCGCGAAACATGTGATGGTACCCCTTTGGAATCTGCCAAAAATTGACCCGGAATAAATCCGCCCAAATCGGTGCTTAATGGACTCAATCATCGTTGGGGAATAGCCTCAGGCGGAATCCGTGATCTGTAGCCTTCAATATCCAAAGAAAATGGCCTTTCGTCGCACAAGAAATTACTAAAATGCCATTCGAAAATAAATTGGCGCAAATCTATGCTTAACGAACTTATCATCCGTGGGGAATAGGATCAATAGACTTCATTATCGGTGGAGAATAGCCTCGGCCTGATTCCGTGATCTGTAGCCTCCAGAATCTAAAGAAAATGGTATTTCGGATAAATCGCGCGAAACATGTGATGGTACCCCTTTGGAATCTGCCAAAAATTGACCCGGAATAAATCCGCCCAAATCGGTGCTTAATGGACTCAATCATCGTTGGAGAATAGCCTCAGGCGGAATCCATGATCTGTAGCCTTCAATATCCAAAGAAAATGGCCTTTCGTCGCCCAATAAATTACTAAAATGCCATTCGAAAATAAATTGGCCCAAATCTATGCTTAACGAACTTATCATCCGTGGGGAATAGGATCAATAGACTTCATTATCGGTGGAGAATAGCCTCGGCCTGATTCCGTGATCTGTAGCCTCCAGAATCAAAAGAAAATGGTATTTCGGATAAATCGCGCGAAACATGTGATGGTACCCCTTTGGAATCTGCCAAAAATTGACCCGGAATAAATCCGCCCATATCGGTGCTTAATGGACTCAATCATCGTTGGAGAATAGCCTCAAGCTGAATTCATGATCTGTAGCCTTCAATATCCAAAGAAAATAGCCTTTCGTCGCCCAAGAAATTACTAAAATGCCATTCGAAAATAAATTGGCCCAAATCTATGCTTAACGAACTTATCATCCGTGGCAAATAGGATCAATAGACTTCATTATCGGTGGAGAATATCCTCGGCCTGATTCCGTGATCTGTAGCCTCCAGAATCAAAAGAAAATGGTATTTCGGATAAATCGCGCGAAACATGTGATGGTACTCCTTTGGAATCTGCCAAAAATTGCCCCGGAATAAATCCGCCCAAATCGGTGCTTAATGGATTCAATCATCGTTGGAGAATAGCCTCCCGCCGAATCCGTGATCTGTAGCCTTCAATATCCAAAGAAAATGGCCTTTCGTCGCCCAAGAAATTGCGAAAATGACATTCGAAAATAAATTGGCCCAAATCGATGCATAGCAAACTTATCATCCGTGGAGAATAGGATCAATAGACTTAATTATCGGTGGAGAATAGTCTCGGCCTGATTCCATTATATGTAGCCTCCAGAATCGAAAGAAAATGGCATTTGGGATAAATCGCCCGAAATCTGTGATGATACCCCTTTGGAATCTGCGAAAAATTGCCCCGGAATAAATCCGCCCAAATCGGTGCTTAATGGATTCAATCATCGATGGAAAATAGCCTCCCGCCGAATCCGTGATCTGTAGCGTTCAATATCCAAAGAAAATGGCCTTTCGTCGCCCAAGATATTACGAAAATGCCATTCGAAAATAAATTGGCCCAAATCGATGCTTAACGGACTTATCATCCGTGGACAATAGGATCAATAGACTTCATTATCGGTGGAGAATAGCCTCGGCCTGATTCCGTGATCTGTAGCCTCCAGAATCGAAAGAAAATGGCATTTCGGATAAATTGCCCGAAATCTGTGATGGTACCCCTTTGGAATCTGCCAAAAATTGACACGGAATAAATCCACCCAAATCGGTGCTTAATGGACTCAATCATCGTTTGAGAATAGCCTCAGGCCAAATCCGTGATCTGTAGCCTTCAATATCCAAAGAAAATGGCCTTTTGTCGCCCAAGAAATTACGAAAATGCCATTCGAAAATAAATTGGCCCAAATCGATGCTTAACGGACTTATCATCCGTGGACAATAGGATCAATAGACTTCATTATCGGTGGAGAATAGCCTCGGCCTGATTCCGTGATCTGTAGCCTCCAGAATCGAAAGAAAATGGCATTTCGGATAAATTGCCCGAAATCTGTGATGGTACCCCTTTGGAATCTGCCAAAAATTGACACGGAATAAATCCACCCAAATCGGTGCTTAATGGACTCAATCATCGTTTGAGAATAGCCTCAGGCCAAATCCGTGATCTGTAGCCTTCAATATCCAAAGAAAATGGCCTTTTGTCGCCCAAGAAATTACGAAAATGCCATTCAAATTTTTTTTGGAACAAATCGATGCTTTACTGACTTATCATCCTTGAAGAATAGGATCAATAGACTTCATTATCGGTGGAGAATAGCCTCGGCCTGATTCCGTGATATGTAGCCTCCAGAATCGAAAGAAAATGGCATTTCGGATAAATCGCTTGAAATCTGTGATGGTACCTCTTTGGAATCTGGCAAAAATTGACCCAGAATAAATCCGCCCAAATCGGTGCTTAATGGACATAATCATCGTTGGAGAATAGCCTCATGCCGAATCCATGATCTGTAGCCTTCAATATCCAAAGAAAATCGCCTTTCGTCGCCCAAGAAATTACGAGAATGTCATTCGAAAATAAATTGGCCCAAATCGATGCTTAACGGACTTATCATCAGTGGAGATTAGGATCAATAGACTTCATTATCGGTGGAGAATAGCCTCGGCCTGATTTCATGATCTGTAGCCTCCAGAATCGAAAGAAAATGGCATTTTGGATAAATCGCCGGAAATCAGTGATGGTACCCCTTTGGAATATGCCAAAAATTGCCCCAGAATAAATCCGCCCAAATCGGTGCTTAATGGACTCAATCATCGTTGGAGAATAGCCTCAGGCCAAATCCGTGATCTGTAGCCTTTAATATCCGAAGAAAATGGCCTTTCGTCGCTCAAGAAATTACGAAAAATGCCATTCGAAAATAAATTGGACGAAATCGATGCTTAACGGACTTATCATCCGTGGAGAATAGGATCAATAGACTTCATTATCGTTGGAGAATAGCCTCGGCCTGATTCCGTGATCTGCAGTCTCAAGAATCGAAAGAAAATGACAATTCGTCCGAAATCTGTGATGGTACCCCTTTGGAATCTGCCAAAATTTGACCAGGAATAAATCCGCCCAAATGGGTGCTTAATGGACACAGTCATCGTTGGAGAATAGCCTCAGGCAAAATCCGGGATCTTTCGCCTTCAATATCCACAGAAAATGGCCTTTCGTCGCCCAAGAAATTACGAAAATGCCATTCGAAATTTAAATGTCCCAAATCGATGCTTAACGGACTTATCATCCGTTGAGAATTGGATCAATAGACTTCATTATCGAAAGAATATTGAATTTCGGATAAATCTCCCGAAATCTGTGATGGTACCCCTTTGGAATCTGCCAAAAATTGACCCGGAATAAATCCGCCCAAATCGGTGCTTAATGGACTCAATCATCATTGGAGGATAGCCTCGGGCCGAATCCGTGATATGTAGCCTTCAATATCCAAAGAAAATTGCCTTTCGTCGCCCAAGAAATTACGAAAATGCTATTCAAAAATAAATTGGACCAAATCGATGCTTAGCGGACTTATCATCCATGGATAATAGGATCAATAGACTTCATTATCGGTGGAGAATAGCCTCGTCCTGATTCCATGATCTTTAACCTCCAGAATCGAAAGAAAATGGCATTTCGGATAAATCGCCCAAAATCCGTGATGATACCCCTTTGGAATCTGGCAAAAATTGACCCTGGAATAAATCCGCCCAAATCGGTCCTTAATGGACTCAATCATCGTTGGAGAAAAACCTTAAGCCGAATTCGTGATCTGTAGCCTTCAATATCCAAAGAAAATGGCCTTTCGTCGCCCAAGAAATTACGAAAATGTCGTTCGAAAATAAATTGGCCCAAATCGATGCTTAACGGACTTATCATCCGTGGAGAATATGATCAATAGACTTCATTATCGGTGGAGAATAGCCTCGTCCTGATTCCGCGATCAGTAGCCTTCAGAATCGAAAGAAAATGGCATTTCGGATAAATCGCCTGAAATCTGTGATGGTACCCCTTTGGAATCTGCCAAAAATTGACCCGGAATAAATCCGCCCAAATCGATGCTTAATGGACTCAATCATCATTGGAGGATAGCCTCAGGCCGAATCCGTGATCTGTATCCTTCAATATCCAAAGAAAGTGGCATTTCGTCGACCAAGAAATTACGAAAATGCCATTCAAAAATAAATTGGCCCAAATCGATTCTTAGAGGACTTATTATCCGTGGAGAATAGGATCAATAGAATTCATTATCGGTGGAGAATAGCCTCGTCCTGATTCCGTGATCTTTAGCCTCCAGAATCGAAAGAAAATGGCATTTCGGATAAATCGCCCGAAATCTGTGACGGTACCCCTTTGGAATCTGCCAAATATTGACCCTGGAATAAATCTGCCCAAATCGGTCCTTAATGGACTCAATCATCGTTGGAGAATAGCCTTAGGCCGAATCCGTGATCTGTAGCCTTTAATATCTAAAGAAAATGGCCTTTCGTCGCCCAAGAAATTACGAAAATGTCGTTCGAAAATAAATTGGCCCAAATCGATGCTTAACGGACTTATCATCCGTGGAGAATAGGATCAATAGACTTCATTATCGGTGGAGAATAGCCTCGGCCTAATTCCGTGATCTGTAGCCTCCAGAATCGAAAGAATATGGCATTTCGGATAAATCGCCCAGAATAAGTGATGGTACCACTTTGGAATCTGCCTAAAATTGAACCGGAATAAATCCGCCCAAATCGGTGCTTAATGGACCCAATCATCATTGGAGAATAGCTTCAGGCCGAATCCGTGATCTGTAGCCTTCAATATCCAAAGAAAATGGCCTTTCGTCGCCCAAGAAATTACGAAAATGCCATTCAAAAATATATTGGCCCAAATCGATGCTTAACGGACTTATCATCCGTGGAGAATATAATCAATAGACTTCATTATGGTGGAGAATAGCCTCTTCCTGATTCCGCGATCAGTAGCCTTCAGAACCGAAAGAAAATGGCATTTCGGATAAATCGCCCGAAATCTGTGATGGTACCCCTTTGGAATCTGCCAAAAATTGACCCGGAATAAATCCTCCCAAATCGATGCTTAATGGACTCAATCATCATTGGAGGATAGCCTCGGGCCGAATCCGTGATCTGTAGCCTTCAATATCCAGAGAAAATGGCCTTTCGTCGCCCAAGAGATTACGAAAATGCCATTCAAAAATAAATTGGCCCAAATCGATGCTTAGCGGACTTATCATCCGTGGAGAAAAGGATCAATAGAATTCATTATTGGTGGAGAATAGCCTCGTCCTGATTCCGTGATCTTTAGCCTCCAGAATCGAAAGAAAATGGCATTTCGGATAAATCGCCCTAAATCTGTGACGGTACCCCTTTGGAATCTGCCAAAAATTGACCCTGGAATAAATCCGCCCAAATCGGTCCTTAATGGACTCAATCATCGTTGGAGAATAGCCTTAGGCCGAATCCGTGATCTGTAGCCTTCAATATCCAAAGAAAATGGTCTTTCGTCGCCCAAGAAATTACGAAAATAACGTTCGAAAATAAATTGGCCCAAATCGATGCTTAACGGACTTATCATCCGTGGAGAATAGGATCAATAGACTTCATTATCGGTGGAGAATAGCCTCGGCCTGATTCCGTGATCTGTAGCCTCCAGAATCGAAAGAAAATGGCATTTCAGATAAATTGCCCGAAATCTGTGATGGTACCCCTTTGGAATCTGCCAAAAATTGACCCGGAATAAATCCGCCCAAATCGGTGCTTAATGGACTCAATCATCGTTGGAGAATATCCTCAGGGGGAATCCGTGATCTGTAGCCTTCAATATCCAAAGAAAATGTCCTTTCGTGGCCCAAGAAATTGCGAAAATGACTTTCAAAAATAAATTGGCCCAAATCGATGCTTAACGGACTTATCTTTCTTGAAGAATAGAATCAATAGACTTCATTATCGGTGGAGAATAGCCTCGGCCTGATTCCGTGATCTGTAGCCTCCAGAATCGAAAGAAAATGCCATTTCGGATAAATCGCCCGAAATCTGTGATGGTACCCCTTTCGAATCTGCCAAAAATTGACCCAGAATAAATCCGCCCAAATCGATGCTTAATGGACACAATCATCGTTGGAGAATAACCTCAGGCCGAATCCGTGATCTGTAGCCTTCAATATCCAAAGAAAATGGCCTTTCGTCGCCCAAGAAATTACGAAAATGCCATTCGAAAATAAATTTGCCGAAATCGATGTTTAACGGAATTATCATCCGCGGAGAATAGGATCAATAGACTTCATTATCGGTGGAGAATAGCCTCGCCCTGATTTTGTGATCTGTAGCCTCCAGAATCGAAAGAAAATGGCATTTCGGATAAATCGCCCGAAATTTGTGATGGTACCCCTTTGGAATCTGCCAAAAATTGACCCCGAATAAATCCGCCCAAATCGGTGCTTAATGGACTCAATCATCGTTGGAGAATAGCCTCAGGCCGAATCCGTGATCTGTAGCCTTCAATATCTAAAGAAAATGGCCTTCCGTCGCCCAAGAAATTACGAAAATGTCATTCGAAAATATATTGGCCGAAATCGATGCTTAACGGAATTATCATCCGTGGAGAATAGGATCAATAGACTTCATTATCGGTGGAGAATAGCCTCGCCCTGATTTTGTGATCTGTAGCCTCCAGGATCGAAAGAAAATGGCAATTCGGATAAATCGCACGAAATCTGTGATGGTACCCCTTTGGAATCTGCCAAAAATTGATCAGGAATAAATCCGCCCAAATCGGTGCTTAATGGACACAATCATTGTTGGAGAATAGCCTCAGGCCGAATCCGTGATCTGTCGCCTTCAATATCCAAAGAAAATGGCTTTTCGTCGCCCAAGAAATTACGAAAATGCCATTCGAAAATAAATTGGCCCAAATCGATGCTTAATGGACTTATCATCCGTGGAGAATAGGATCAATAGACTTCATTATCGTTGGAGAATAGCCTCGGCCTGATTCCATGATTTGCAGTCTCAAGAATCGAAAGAAAATGACAATTCGGATAAATCGCCCGAAATCTGCGATGTTACCCCTTTCGAATCAGCCAAAATTTGACCCAGAACAAATCCGACCAAATCGGTGCTTAATGGACTCAATCATCGTTGGAGAATAGCTTTAGGCCGAATTCGTGATCTGTAGCCTTCAATATCCAAAGAAAATGGCCTTTCGTCGCCCAAGAAATTACGAAAATGCCATTCGAAAATAAATTGTCCCAGATCGATGCTTAAAGGATTTATCATCCGTGGAGAATAGGATCAATAGACTTCATTATCGGTGGAGAATAGCCTCGGCCTAATTCCGTGATCTGTAGCCTCCAGAATCGAAAGAATATGGCATTTCGGATAAATTGCCCAGAATAAGTGATGGTACTCCTTTGGAATCTGCCTAAAATTGAACCGGAATAAATCCGCCCAAATCGGTGCTTAATGGACTCAATCATCGTTGGAGAATAGCTTCGGGCCGAATCCATGATATGTAGCCTTCAATATCCAAAGAAAATGGCCTTTCGTCGCCCAAGAAATTACGAAAATGCCATTCGAAAATATATTGGCCGAAATCGATGCTTAACGGACTTATCATCCATGGAGAATATGATCAATAGACTTCATTATCGGTGGAGAATAGCCTCGTCCTGATTCCGCGATCAGTAGCCTTCAGAATCGAAAGAAAATGGCATTTCGGATAAATCGCCCGAAATCTGTGATGGTACCCCTTTGGAATCTGCCAAAAATTGACCCGGAATAAATCCGCCCAAATCGATGCTTAATGGACTCAATCATCATTGGAGGATAGCCTCGGGCCGAATCCGTGATCTATAGCCTTCAATATCCAAAGAAAATGGCCTTTCGTCGCCCAAGAAATTACAAAAATGCCATTCAAAAATAAATTGGCCCAAATCGATGCTTAGCGGACTTATCATCCGTGGAGAATAGGATCAATAGAATTCATTATCGGTGGAGAATAGCCTCGTCCTGATTCCGTGATCTTTAGCCTCCAGAATCGAAAGAAAATGGTATTTCGGATAAATCGCCCAGAATAAGTGATGGTGCCCCTTTGGAATCTGGCAAAAATTGACACGGAATAAATCCGCCCAAATCGGTGCTTAATGGACACAATCATCGTTGGAGAATAGCCTCAATCGAATCCGTGATCTGTAGCCTTCAATATCCAAAGAAAATCGCCTTTCGTCGCCCAAGAAATTACGAACATACCATTCGAAAATAAATTGGCCCAAATCGATGCTTAGTGGACTTATCATCCGTGGAGAATAGGATCAATAGACTTCATTATCGGTGGAGAATAGCCTCGTCCTGATTCTGTGATCTGTAGCCTTTATAATCGAAAGAAAATGGCATTTCAGATAAATCGCCCAAAATTTGTGATGGTACCCCTTTGAAATCTGCCAAAAATTGACCCAAAATAAATCCGCCCAAATCGATGCTTAATGGACTCAATCATCGTTGGAGAATAGCCTCAGGCCGAATCCGTGATCTGTAACCTTCATTATCCAAAGAAAATGGCCTTTCGTCGCTCAAGAAATTACGAAAATGACATTCAAAAATAAATTGGCCCAAATCGATGCTTAACGGACTTATCTTCCTTGAAGAATAGAATCAATAGACTTCATTATCGGTGGAGAATAGCCTCGGCCTGATTCCGTGATCTGTAGCCTCTTGAATCGAAAATGGCATTTCAGATAAATCGCCCGAAATCTGTGATGCCCTTTGGAATCTGCCAAAAATTGACCCGGAATATATCCGCCCAAATCGGTGCTTAATGGACACAATCATCGTTGGAGAATAGCCTCAAGCCGAATCCGTGATCTGTAGCCTTCAATATCCAAAGAAAATCGCCTTTCGTCGCCCAAGAAATTACGAACATACCATTCGAAAATAAATTGGCCCAAATCGATGCTTAGTGGACTTATCATCCGTGGAGAATAGGATCAATAGACTTCATTATCAGTGGAGAATAGCCTCGTCCTGATTCTGTGATCTGTAGCCTCCATAATCGAAAGAAAATGGCATTTCAGATAAATCGCCCAAAATTTGTGATGGTACCCCTTTGAAATCTGCCAAAAATTGACCCAGAATAAATCCGCCCAAATCGATGCTTAATGGACTCAATCATCGTTGGAGAATAGCCTCAGGCCGAATCCGTGATCTGTAGCCTTCATTATCCAAAGAAAATGGCCTTTCGTCGCTCAAGAAATTACGAAAATGACATTCAAAAATAAATTGGCCCAAATCGATGCTTAACGGACTTATCTTCCTTGAAGAATATAATCAATAGACTTCATTATCGGTGGAGAATAGCCTCGGCCGGATTCCATGATCTGTAGCCTGCTGAATCGAAAAAAATGGCATTTATGATAAATCGCCCGAAATATGTGATGGTACCCCTTTGGAATCTGCCAAAAATTGACCCAAAATAAATCCTCCCAAATCGGTGCTTAATGGACTCAAACATCGTTGGAGATTAGCCTCAGGCCGAAACCGTGATCTGTAGCCTTCAATATCCAAAGAAAATGGCGTTTCGTCGCCCAAAAAATTAAAAAATGCCATTCTAAAATAAATTGGCCCAAATTGATGCTTAACGCAAGTATCATCCGTGGAGAATAGGATCAATAGACTTCATTATCGGTGGAGAATAGCCTCGGCCTGATTCCATGATCCGTAGCCTCCAGAATCGAAAGAAAATGGCATTTCTGATAAATCGCCCGAAATATGTGATTGTACCCCTTTGGAATCTGCCAAAAATTGACCCGAAATAAATCCTCCAAAATCGGTGCTTAATGGACTCAAACATCGTTGCAGAATAGCCTCAGACCGAAACCGTGATCTGTAGCCTTCAATATCCAAAGAAAATGGCCTTTCGTCGCCCAAGAAATTACGAAAATGCCATTCGAAAATAAATGGGCCCAAATCGATGCTTAACGGACTTATCATCCGTGGAGAATAGGATCAATAGACTTTATTATCGGTGGAGAATAGCCTCGGCCTGATTCCGTGATCTGTAGCCTCCAGAATCGAAAGAAAATGGCATTTCGGATAAATCGCCCGAAATCTGTGATGGTACCCCTTTGGAATCTGCCAAAAATAAACCCGAAATAAATCCTCCCAAATCGGTGCTTAATGGACTCAATCATCGTTGGAGAATACCCTCAGGCCGAATCCGTGATCTGTAGCCTTCAATATCCAAAGAAAATGGCCATTCGTCGCCCAAGAAATTACGAAAATGCTATTCGAAAATAAATGGTCCCAAATCGATGCTTAACAGACTTATCATCCGTGGAGAATAGGATCAATAGACTTTATTATCTGTGGAGAATAGCCTCGGCCTGATTTCGTGATCAGTAGCCTCCAGAATCAAAAGAAAATGGCATTTCGGATAAATCGCCCGAAATCTGTGATGGTACTCCTTTGGAATCTGCCAAAAATTGACCCGAAACTAATCCTCCCAAATCGGTCCTTAATGGACTCAATCATCGTTGGAGAATAGCCTCAGACCGAATCCGTGATCTGTAGCCTTCAATATCAAAAGAAAATGGCCTTTCGTCGCCCAAGAAATTACAAAAATGCCATTCGACAATAAATTGGCCCAAATCGATGCTTAACGGATTTATCATCCGTGGAGAATAGGATCAATGGACTTCATTATAGGGGGAGAATAGCCTCGGCCTGATTCCATGATATGTAGCCTCCAGAATCGATAGAAAATGGCATTTCGGATAAATCGCCCGAAATATGTGTTGGTACCCCCTTTGGAATCTGCCAAAAATTAACCCGGAATAAATCCGCCCAAATCGGTGCTTAATGGAATCAATCATCGTTGGAGAATAGCCTCAGGGCGAATCCGTGATCAGTAGCCTTCAATATCCAAAGAAAATGGCCTTTTGTCGCCTAAGAAATTACGAAAATGCCATTCAAAAATAAATTGGCCCAAATCGATGCTTAACCAACTTATCATCCGTGGAGAATAGGATCAATAGACTTCATTATCGGTGGAGAATAGCCTCGGCCTGATTCCGTCATCTGTAGCCTCCAGAATAGAAAGAAAATGGCATTTCGGATAAATAGCCCGAAATATGTGATGGTACCCCTTTGGAATCTGCCAAAAATTTTCCCGGAATAAATCCGCCCAAATCGGTGCTTAATGGACTCAATCATCGTTGGAGAATAGCCTCAGGCCGAATCCGTGAACTGTAGCCTTCAATATCAAAAGAAAATGGTCTTTCGTCGCCCAAGAAATTACAAAAATGCCATTCGAAAATAAATTGGCCCAAATCGATGCTTAACGGACTTATCATCCGTGGAGAATAGATCAATAGACTTCATTATCGGGGGAGAATGGCCTCGGCCTGATTCCGTGATATGTAGCCTCCAAAATCGATAGAAAATGACATTTCGGATAAATCACCTCAAATCTTTGATGGTACCCCTTTGAAATCTGCCAAAATTTAACCCGAAATAAATCCTCCCAAATCGGTGCTTAATGGACTCAATCATCGTTGGAGAATACCCTCAGGGCGAATCCGTGATCTGTAGCCTTCAATATCCAAAGAAAATGGCCTTTCGTCGCCCAAGAAATTACGAAAATGCCATTCGAAAATAAATGGGCGCAAATCGATGCTTAACAGACTTATCATCCGTGGAGAATAGGATCAATAGACTTCATTATCGGTGGAGAATAGCCTCGGCATGATTTCGTGATCTGTAGCCTCAAGAATCAAAAGAAAATGGCATTTCGGATAAATCGCCCGAAATCTGTGATGGTCACCCTTTGGAATCTGCCAAAAATTGACCCGGAATAAATCCGCCCAAATCGGTGCTTAATGGACTCAATCATCGTTGGAGAATAGCCTCAGGCCGAATCCGTGATCTGTAGCCTTCAATATCAAAAGAAAATGGGCTTTCGTCGCCCAAGAAATTACGAAATTGCCATTCGAAAATAAATTGGCCCAAATCGATGCTTAACGGACTTATCATCCGTGGAGAATAGGATCAATAGACTTCATTATTGGTGGAGAATAGCCTCGACCTGATTCCGCGATCTCTAGCATTCAGAATCGAAAGAAAATGGTATTTCAGATAAATCGCTCGAAATCTGTGATCTTTTGAATCTGCCAAAAATTTTCCCGGAATAAATCCGCCCAAATCGGTGCTTAATGGACTCAATCATTGTTGGAGAATAGCCTCAGGCCGAATCCGTGATCAGTAGCCTTCAATATCAAAAGAAAATGGCCTTTCGTCGCCCAAGAAATTACGAAAAATGCCATTCGAAAATAAATTAGCCCAAATCGATGCTTAACAGTCTTATCATCCGCGGAGAATAGGATCAATAGACTTCATTATCGGTGGTGAATAGCCTCGGCCTGATTCCGTGATCTGTAGCCTCAAGAATCGAAAAGAAAATGGCATTTCAGATAAATCGCCCGAAATCTGTGATGGTACCCCTTTGGAATCTGCCAAAAATTGACCTGGAATAAATCCGCCCAAATCGGTCCTTAATGGACTCAATCATCGTTGGAGAATAGCCTCAGGCCGAATCCGTGATCTGTAGCCTTCAATATCCAAAGAAAATGGCCTTTCGTCGCTCAATAAATTATGAAAATGCCATTCGAAAATAAATTGGCCCAACTCGATGCTTAACGGGGTTTTCATCCGTGGAGAATAGGATCAATAGACTTCATTATCGGCTAAGAATAGCCTCGGCCTGATTCCGTGATCTGTAGCCTCCAGAATCGAAAGAAAATCGCATTACGGATAAATCGCCCGAAATCTGTGATGGTACCCCTTTCGAATCTATCAAAAATTGACCCGGAATAAATCCGCCCTAATCGGTGCTTAATGGACTCAATCATCATTGGAGAATAGCCTCAGGCCGAATTAGTGATCTGTAGCCTTCAATATCCAAAGAAAATGGCATTCGTCGCCCAAGAAATTATGAAAATGCCATTCGAAAATAAATTGGCCAAAATCGATGCTAACGGACTTATCATCCATGGAGAATGGGATCAATAGACTTCATTACCAGTGGATAATAGCCTCGGCCTGATTCCGTAATTTGAAGCTTCCCGAATCGAATGAAAATGGCATTTTGGATAATTCGCCCGAAATCTGTGATGGTACCCTTTTGGAATCTGCCAAAAATTGCCCCGGAATACATCCATCCAAATCGGTGCTTAATGGACTCAATCATCGTTGGAGAATAGCCTCAGGCCGAATCCGTGATCTGTAGCCTTCAATATCCCAAGAAAATGGCCTTTCGTCGCCCAAGAAATTACGAAAATGGCATTCGAAAATAAATTGGCCCAAATCGATGCTTAACAGACTTATCATCCGTGGAGAATAGGATCAAAAGACTTTATTATCGGTGGAGAATAGCCTAGGCCTGATTCCGTGATTTGTAGCCTCCAGAATCGAAAGAAAATGGCATTTCGGATAAATCGCCTGAAATCTGTGATGGTACCCCTTTGGAATCTGCCAAAAATTGACCCGGAATAAATCCGCCCAAATTGGTGCTTAACGGACTCAATCATCGTTGCTGAATAGTCTCAGGGCAAATCCGTGATCTGTAGCCTTCAATATCCAAAGAAAATGGCCTTTCGTCGCCCAAGAAATAACGAAAATGCCATTGGAAAATAAATTGGCCCAAATCGATGCTTAATGGACTTATCATCAGTGGAGAATAAGATCAATAGACTTCATTATCGGTGGAGAATATCCTCGGCCTGATTCCGTGATCTGTAGCCCCTAGAATCGAAAGAAAAGGGCATTTCGGATAAATCGCACGAAATCTGTGATGGTACCCCTTTGGAATCTGTCAAAAATTGACCCAAAATAAATACTCCCAAATCGGTGCTTAATGGACTCAATCATCGTTGGAGAATAGCCACAGGCCGAATCCGTGATCTGTAGCCTTCAATATCCGAAGAAAATGGCCTTTCGTCGCCCAAGAAATTACGAAAATGTCATTCGAATATAAATTGGCCCAAATCGATGCGTAACGGACATATCATATGTGGAGAATAGGATCAATAGACTTCATTATCGGTGGAGAATAGCCTCGGCCGGATTCCGTGATCTGTTTGAAAGAAAATGGCATTTCGGATAAATCGCCCGAAATCTGTGATAGTACCCCTTTGGAATCTGTCAAAAATTGACCCAAAATAAATCCGCCCAAATCGGTGCTTAATGGACTCAATCATCGTTGGAGAATAGCCTCAGTCCCAATCCGTGATATGTAGCCTTCAATATTCAAAGAAAATGGCCTTTCGTCGCCCAAGAAATTACGAAAATGCTATTCGAAAATAAATTGGCCCAAATCGATGCTTAACGGACTTATAATCCATGGAGAATAAGATCAATAGACTTCCAGACTTAAATCTACCAAAAATTGACCCTGAAGAAATCCGAAGAAATCCGTGCTTAATAGACTTATCGTCGTTGAAGAATACCCTAAGGCCGAATCTGTGATCTGTAGCCTTCAAAATCCAAGGAAAATGGACTTTCGAAAAAAAATCGCCAAGAATTACGAATATGCCATTCCTAAATAAATTGATCCAATTCTGTGTTTTATGGACTTAATCATTGGTGGAGAATAGAATAAATAGACTTCATTATCGGTGGAGAATAACCTCAAACTGAATCCGTCATCTGTAGCCTCCAAAATCGAAAGAAAACGACATTTCAGAAAAATCGCCCGAAATCTGTGATGGTACCCCTTTGGAATTTGCCAAAAATGGACCCGGAAGAAATCCGCTCAAATTCGTGCTTAATCAACTCAATCGTCGTTGAAGAATTCCCTAAGGCCGAATACGTAATCTGTAGCCGTCAAAATCCAAGGAAAATGACATTAAAAAAATAATAGAGCAAAGGATTACGAAAATGCAATCCCAAAATAAATTGGTTCAATTATGTGCTTTACGAACTTAATCATTGGTGGAGAATAAGATCAATAGATTTCATTATCGGTGGAGAATAGCATCAGACTGAATCCGTCATCTGTTGCCTCCAAAATCAAAAGAAAACCGCATTTCAAAAAAATCGTCCGTAAACTGTGATGGTACCCTTTGGAATCTGCGAAAAATAGACCCGGAAGGAATCCGCCTGAATTCTTTCTTAATTTACTTAATCGTCTTTGAGAATACCCTAATGATGAAACTGTAATCTATAACCTTCAAAATCCAAGTAAAATGAACTTTCGAAAATAAATCGCACAAGAATTACGAATATGCTATCCCAAAATAAATTGGTTCAATTATGTGCTTTATGAACTTAATTATTGGTGGAGAATAGGATCAATAGACTTTATTATGGGTGGAGAATAGCCTCGGACGGAATCGGTCATTAGTAGACTCCAAGATCAAAAGAAAACCGCATTTCGGAAAAATCGACCGAAATCTGTGATGGTACCCCTTTGGAATCTGCCAAAAATGGACCCGGAAGAAATCCGAACAAATACGTGCTTAATAGACTTAATCATCGTTGAAGAATACCCTAAGGCCGAATCCGTGATCTGTAACCTTCCAAAGCCATAGAAAATGGAGTTTCGAAAAAAAATCTCCAATGAATTACGAATATGCCATCTCAAAATAAATTGGTCCAATTTTGTGCTTTATCGATATAATCATTGGCTGAGAATAGGATCAATAGACTTCGTTATCGGTGGAAAATTGTCTCGGACGGAATCGGTCATTAGTAGCCTCCAAGATCAAAAAGAGAACCGCATTTCGGAAAAATCGCCTGAAATCTGTGATGGTACCTCTTTTGGAATCTACCAAAAATAAACCCGGAAGAAATCCGAACAAATCTGTGCTTAATATACTTAATCGTCATTGAAGAATACCCTAAGGCTGAATCTGTGATCTATAGCATTCAAAATTCAAGGAAAATGGACTTTCGAAAAAAAATAGCCAAGAATTACGAATATGCCATTCCTAAATAAATTGATCCAATTATGTGATTTATGGACTTAATCATTGGTGGAGAATAGGATCAATAGACTTCATTATCGGTGGAGAATAACCTCAAACTGAATCCGTCATCTGTAGCCTCCAAAATAGAAAGAAAACGGCATTTCAGAAAAATCGCCCGAAATCTGTTATGGTACCCCTTTGGAATTTGCCAAAAATGGACCTAGAGGAAACCCGCCCAAATCCGTGCTTAATCAACTTAATCGTCATTGAAGAATTCCCTAAGCCCGAATCCGTAATCTTTAGCCTTCAAAATCCAAGGAAAATGACATTTAAAAAATAATCGAGCAAAGGATTACGAAAATGCCATCCCAAAATAAATTGGTTCAATTATGTGCTTTATGGACTTAATCATTGGTGGAGAATAGGATCAATAGACTTCATTATCGGTGGAGAATAGCCTCAGACAGAATCCGTCATCTGTAGCCTCCAAAATCAAAAGAAAATCGGATTTCGGTAAAATCGCCTGAAATCTGTGATGGTACCCCTTTGGAATCTGCCAAAAATGGACCCGGAAGAAATCCGCCCAAATTCGTGCTTAATGGACATGATCGGTGTTGGAGAATACCGTAAGGCCGAATCTGTGATCTGTAGCATTCAAAATCCAAGGAAAATTGACTTTCGGAAAAAATTGCCCAAGAATTACGAATATGCCTTCCTAAAATAAATTAGTCCAATTCTAGGGTTTATGAACTTAATCATTGGTGGAGAATAGGATCAATAGACTTCATTATCGGTGGAGAATAGCCTCAGACTGAATCCGTCAATTGTAGCCTCCAAAATTAAAAGAAAACCGCATTTCGAAAAAATCGTCAGAAATCTGTGATGGTACCCCTTTGGAATCTGCCAAAACTGGACGCGGAAGAAATCCACCCAAATTCGTTCTTAATGTACTTAATCTTCGTTGGAGAATACCCTAATGCTGAATCTGTAATCTATAGCCTTCAAATTCCAAGGAAAATGGACTTTCGAAAAAAATTGCCCAAGAATTATGAATATGCCATCCCAAAATAAATTGGTCCAATTTTGTGCTTTATGGACTTAATGTTTGGTGGAGAATAGGATCAATAGACTTTATTATCGGTGGAGAATAGCCTCGGAAGGAATCAGTCATTTGCAGCCTCCAAGATGGAAAGAAAACCGCATTTCGGAAAATCGCCCAAAATCTGTGATGGTACCCCTTTGGAATCTGCCAAAAATGGACACAGAAGAAATCCACCCAAATTAGTTCTTAATGTACTTAATCTTCGTTAGAGAATACCCTAATGCTGAATCTGTAATCTATAGCCTTCAAATTCCAAGGAAAATGGACTTTCGAAAAAAATTGCCCAAGAATTATGAATATGCCATCCCAAAATAAATTGGTCCAATTTTGTGCTTTATGGACTTAATCTTTGGTGGAGAATAGGATCAATAGACTTCATTATCGGTGGAGAATAGCCTCGGAAGGAATAGGTCATTTGCAACCTCCAAGATCGAAAAAAACCGTATTTCGGAAAATCGCCCTAAATCTGTGATGGTACCCCTTTGGAATCTACCAAAAATGGACCCGGAAGAAATCCGACCAAATCCGTGCTTAATTGACTTAATCGTCATTGAAGAATACTGTAAGGCCGAATCTGTGATCTGTAGCATTCCAAAGCCAAGGAAAATGGAGTTTCGAAAAAAATCTCCCAAGAATTACGAATAATCCATCCCAAAATAAATTGGTCCAATTATGTGCTTTAAGGACTTAATCATTGGTGGAGAATAGAATCAATAGACTTCATTATCGGTGGAGAATAGTCTCGGACGGAATCGGTCATTAGTAGCCTCCAAGATCAAAAGAAAACCGCATTTCGGAAAAATCGCCCAAAATCTGTGATGGTACCCCTTTGGAATCTGCCAAAAATGGACACGGAAGAAATCCGAACAAATCCGTGCTTAATAGACTTAATCGTCGTCGAAGAATACCTTAAGGCCAAATCTGTTATCTGTAGCCTTCAAAATCCAAGGAAAATAACATTAAAAAATAATAAGCAAAGGATTACGAAAATGCCATCCCTAAATAAATTGGTTCAATTATGTGCTTTATGAACTTAATCATTGGTGGAGAATAGGATCAATAGATTCTTTATCAGTGGAGAATAACATCAGACTCAATCTGTTATCTGTTGCCTCCAAAATTAAAAGAAAACCGCATTTCGAAAAAATCGCCAGTAGTCTGTGATGGTACCCTTAGGAATCTGCCAAAAATGGACACGGAAGAAATCCGCCCAAATTCGTTATTAATGTACTTAATCGTTGTTGGAGAATACCCTAAGGCTGAATATGTAATCTATAGCCTTCAAAATCCAAGGAAAATGGACTTTCGAAAAAAAATCGCCCAAGAATTACAAATATGCATCCCAAAATAAATTGGTCCAATTCTATGCTTTATGGACTTAATCATTAGTGGATAATAGGATCAATAGACTTCATTATCGGTGGAGAATAGTCTCGGACGAAATCCGTCATTAGTAGCCTCCAAAATCAAAAGAAAACCCTTTGGAATCTGCCAAAAATGGAACCGGAAGAAATCCGCCCAAATCAGTGCTTAATAGACTTAATCGTCGTTGAAGAATACCCTAAGGCCGAATTTGTGATCTTTAGCCTTCCAAAGCCATGGAAAATGGAGTTTCGAAAAAAATCTCCCAAGAATTACGAATATGCCATTCCTAAATAAATATATCCAAATATGTGCTTTATGGACTTAGTCATTGGTGGAGAATAGGATCAATAGACTTCATTATTGATGGAGAATAACCTCAAACTGAATCCGTCATCTGTAGCCTCCAAAATCGAAAGAAAACGGCTTTTCAGAAAAATCGCCCGAAATCTGTGAAGGTATTCCTTTGGGATTTGCAAAAAATGTACCTGGAGGAAATCCGCCCAAATCCGTGCTTAATCAACTTAATTGTCGTTGAAGAATTCCATAAGCCCGAATTGGTAATATGTGCCTTCAAAATCCAAGAAAAATGACATTTAGAAAATAATCGAGCAAAAGATTACGAAAATGCCGTCCCAAAATAAATTGGTTCAATTATGTGCTTTATGAACTTAATCATTGGTGGAGAATAGGATCAATAGACTTCATTATCAGTAGAGAATAGCCTCAGATTGAATCCGTCATCTGTAGCCTCCAAAATTAAAAGAAAACCGCATTTCAGAAAAATCGCCCGAAATCTGAGATGGTACCCCTTTGGAATCTACCAAAAATGGACCCAGAAGAAATCCCCACAAATTCTTGCTTAATGGACTTGAACGTTGTTGGAGAGAATACCCTAAGGCCAAATCTGTAATCTGTAGCATTCAAAATCCAAGGAAAATTGACTTTCGTAATAAAATCGCCCAAGAATTACGAATATGCCTTCCTAAAATAAATTGGTCAAATTCTAGGGTTTATGAACTTAATCATTGGTGGAGAATAGGATTAATAGACTTCATTATCGGTGGAGAATAGCCTCAGACTGAATTCGTCAATTGTAGCCTACAAAATTAAAAGAAAACCGCATTTCGAAAAAATCGTCAGAAATCTGTGATGGTACCCTTTTGTAATCTGCAAAAATGGACCCGGAAAAAATCCACCCAAATTCGTTCTTAATGTACTTAATCTTCGTTGGAGAATACCCTAATGTTGAATATGTAATCTATAGCCTTCAAATTCCAAGAAAAATGGACTTTCGAAAAAATTGCCCAATAATTACGAATATGTCATCCCAAAATAAATTGGTCCAATTCTGTTTTTTATGGACTTAATGGTGGAGAATAGGATCAATAGACTTCATTATCGGTGGAAAATAGCCTCGGAATAATTCTGTCATTCGCAGCCTCCAAGATCCAAAGAAAACCGCATTTTGGAAAAATGGAGTTTCGAAAAAAATCTCCCAAGAATTACGAATATGCCATTCCAAAATAAATTGGTCCAATTCTGTGCTTTATGGACTTAATCATTGGTGGAGAATATGATACATAGACTTCATTATCGGTGGAGAATAGTCTCGGACGGAATCAATCATTTGTAGGCTCCAAGATCCAAACAAAACCGCATTTCGGAAAAATCACCCAAAATATGTGATGGTACCCATTTGGAATCTGCCAAAAATGGACACGGAAGATATCTGACCAAATTCGTGCTTAATGAACTTAATCGTCGTTGAAGAATACCCTAAGGCCAAATCTGTGATCTGTAGCCTTCAAAATCCAAGGAATATGGACTTTCGAAAATAATCTCCTAAGAATTACGAATATGCCATCCCTAAATAAATTGGTCCAATTCTTTGCTTTATGGACTTAATCATTGGTGGAGAATTGGATCAATGGATTTCATTATAGATTGAGAATAGCCTCGGCCTGAATCTGTCATTTGTAGCCTTCAAAATCGAAAGCAATCGGCATTGCACAACAATCGCATGAAATCTATGATTGTACCCATTTGGAATCTGTCAAAAATGGACCTGTAAGAAATCCGCTCAAATCCATGCTTAATTGAACTTAATCATCGTTGAAGAATACCCTAAGGCCGAATCTGTGACCTGTAGCCTTCAAAATCCAAGGAAAACGACATTTAAAAAAATCGAGCAAAGGATTACGAAAATGTCATACCAAAATAAATTGGTTCAATTATGTGCTTTATGGACTTAATCATTGGCGGAGAATATGATCAATAGACTTCATTGTCGGCGGAGAATAGCCTCATATTGAATCAGTCATCTATAGCCTCCAAAATGGAATGAAAACCGCATTTCGGAAAAAATCGCCCAAAATCTGTGATGGTACCCCTTTGGAATCTACCAAAAATGGACCAGGAAGAAATCCGCCCAAATCCATGCTTAATGAACTTAATCGTCATTGAAGAGTACCCCAAGGCCAAATCCCTGATCTGTAGCCATCAAAATCCAAGGAAAATGGTATTTCGAAATAAAATCGCGCAAAGAATTACGAAAATGTCATCCCAAAATAAATTGGTCCAATTATGTGTTTTATGGACTTAATCATTGGTGTAAAATAGGATTAATACACTTCATTATCGGCGGAGAATAGCCTCAGACTGAATCCGTCATTTATAGCCTCCAAAATCGTAAAAAACGGCATTTCCAAAAAAGCCCCCGAAATCTCAGATGGTACCCCTTTGGAATATGCAAAAATGAACCCAGAAGAAATCCTCCCAAATTCGTGCTTAATGGACTTAATTGTCGTTGATGAATACCCTAAGGCCGAATCTGTTATCTGTAGCCTTCAAAATCCAAGGAAAACGGCCATTCGAAAAAAATCGCACAAAGAATTATGAAAATTCCATCCCAAAATAAATTGGTCCAATTCTGTGCTTTATGGACTTACTCATTGGTGGAGAATAGGATCGATAGACTTCATTATCAGCGGAGAATAGCCTCGGATTGAATCCGTAATCTGTAGCCTCCAAAATCGAATGAAAACGGCATTTCGGAAAAATCCCCAAAATCTGTGCTAGTAACCCTTTGGAATCTGACAAAAATGGACCCGGAAGAAATCCGCCTAAATCCGTGCTTAATGGACTTAATCGTCTTTGAAGAATACCCTCAGGGCGAATCCGTGATTTGTAGCATTCAAAATCAAAAGAAAATGACCATCGAAAAAAAATCGCACAAAGAATTATGAAAATTCAAACCCAAAATAAATTGGTCCAATTCTGCGCTTTATGGACTTAATCATTGGTGGAGAATAGTATCAATAAACTTCATTATCGGTGGAGAATAGCCTCGGGCTAAATCCGTCATTTGTAGCCTCCAAAATCGGAAGAAAACAGATTTCACAAATATCACTCAAAATCTGTGATGGTACCCCTTTGGAATCTGCAAAAAATGGACCCGGAATAAATCCGCCCAAATCCGTGCTTAATGAACTTAATCGTCGTTGAAGAGTACCCCAAGGCCGAATTCGTGATCTGTAGCCATCAAAATCCAAGGAAAATGGCATTTCGAAATAAAATCGTGCAAAGAATTAGGAAAATGTCATCCCAAAATAAATTGGTCCAATTATGTGTTTTATGGACTTAATCATTGGTTTAGAATAGGATCAATAGACTTCATTATTGGCGGAGAATAGCCTCAGACTGAATCCGTCATCTGTAGCCTCCAAAATCGTAAAAAAACGGCATTTCCGAAAAATCCCCCGAAATCTCAGATGGTACCCCTTATGAATCTGCCAAAAATGGACCTGGAAGAAATCCGCCCAATTTCGTGCTTAATGGACTTAATTTTCGTTAAAGAATACCCTAAGGCCGAATCTGTGATCTGTAGCCTTCAAAATCCAAGGAAAACGACCATTCAGAAAAAAATCGCCCAAAGAATTATGAAAAATTCCATCCCAAAATAAATTGGTCCAATTCTGTGCTTTATGGACTTACTCATTGGTGGAGAATAGGATCGATAGACTTCATTATCAGCGGAGAATAGCCTCGGATTGAATCCGTCATCTGTAGCATCCAAAATTGAATGAAAACGACATTTCGGAAAAAAATTTCGAAATCTGTGATGGTACCCCTTTAGAATCTACCAAAAATGGACCCGGAAGAAATATGCCCAAATCCGTGTTTAATGGACTTAATCGTCGTTGAAGAATACCCTCAGGCCGAATCCGTGATTTGTAGCCTTCAAAATCCAAGGAAAACGACCTTTCGAAAAAAAATCGCCTAAAAATTATGAAAATTTCATCCCAAAATAAATTGGTCCAATTCTGTGCTTTATGGACTTACTCATTGGTGGAGAATAGGATCGATAGACTTCATTATCAGTGGAGAATAGCCTCGGATTGAATCCGTCATCTGTAGCATCCAAAATAGAATGAAAACGACATTTCGGAAAAATTTTCCGAAATCTGTGATGTTACCCCCTTTGGAATCTGCCAAAAATGGACCCGGAAGAAATCTTCCCAAATCCGTGTTTAATGGGCTTAATCGTCGTTGAAGAATACCCTCAGGTCGAATCCGTGATTTGTAGCCTTCAAAATCCAAGGAAAACGGCCTTTCGAAAAAAATCGCCTAAAAATTACGAAAATGCCATTCGAAAATAAATTGGTCCAATTCTGTGCTTTATGGACTTACTCATTGGTGGAGAATAGGATCGATAGGCTTCATTATTAGCGGAGAATAGCATTGGACTGCATCCGTCCTCTGTAGCCTCCAAAATCAAAAGAAAATCGCATTTCGAAAATATCGCACAAAATCTGTGATGGTACCCTTTTGAAATCTACAAAAAATGAACCCGGAAGAAATCCACCCAAATCCTTTCTTATTGAACTTAATCGTCGTTGAAGAATACCCTAAGGCCGAATCCGTGATCTGTAGCCTTCAAATCCAAGGAAAATGGTATTTCGAAAAAAATCACACAAAGAATTACGAATATGCCATCCCAAAATTAATTGGTCCAATTATGTTCTTTATGGACTCAATCATTTGTGCCTGAAATCTGTGATGTACCCCTTTGGAATATGGCAAAAATGGACCCGGAAAAAATCCGCCCAAATCCGTGCTTAATGGAAATCGTCGTTGAAAAATACCCTCAGTCGAAATCCGTGATCTGTAGCCATCAAATTCCAAGGAAAACGGTCATTCGAAAAAAATCGTCCAAAGAATTATGAAAATTTCATCCCAAATTTTTGTTGTTGTCCAATTCTGTGCTTTATGGACTTAATCATTGGTGCAGAATAGGATCAGTAGACTTAATTATCGGTGGAGAATAGCCTCTGACTGGATCTGTCATTTGTAGCCTTCAAAATCGAAACAAAACGACATTTCAGAAGAATCGTCTGAAATCTGTGATGGTACCCCTTCTGTCCAAATCCGGGCTTAATGAACGTAATGGAGGATATCAGAGACTAGAGTGTTGGGAAAGAGGGATTGGGAATTTGAAATGAGGCTTCACAATTTGTTTTTGACGGTATGGGGAAAGTTAAAGCAAAGGGATTGGGTTGTTGAAAAATTGTGCGAGGGAAGACAAGAGCCGCCATGGATGGCGAGATCGGTGACGGTAGAGGAGACGATTGGTTCAGGCAGAAGGAAGGCGGAGGGGTCAGAGGAGTGGCCGGCGATTCCTTTTCTTTAGGGGGGAAGATGCATGCCAAAAAAAGCAAGGGATAAGGAGGGGTAAATTTGACATTCCCTTCACATTTTGCTGTGGTCAAACATGCATGTCCAATTATTTATTGACGGATTTGGGAGTTGGGACAAATTTATTAACAAAAGGGCAAGTTTGATATCTATGCGACAGTAAAAAGGGCAAGCTTGAGACAAGTTTGAGAAAAAATTATAGTCGAGGCGCAATACTTGCTATTAACCCTATAGTAAACTATCCATTTTTGTACTCATATGATTGCTTTAATTATCATCATAGGTGGATAAATGTATCACCGGTATTTTGATGGTTTCAGCCTTCAACACATATTAGTGAAATAATGTAAGTTTACGCAGAATTTAATTTTATATTTGCTTATATTTAATTTATTTTGGAGCTTGTTATGATTCCAGCAATTTCATATAATGAGCATTATAAGGACAAAATTATGAGTAAGAATACACAAATTAATTGCAACTATTAAAATGAAAATTAGGACATCTCCGAAGTCCAAATCTATGATTGAGACTTTGCTAAATGAGGCAGCTGGACGAAGGTCCCAATGTACAATTTTTTATTTATTTTTATGTATACATTTGTTCTAATAAGTAAGTCTACGAAATAAACGACATATGAGTGAAAACAAAACAACATGCAATTCTATATATGATCTTTCATGAAAATTAGTATTAAATTGTGACTTCTCATTAAATAATCATTATTTGTACTTCTCGTCTGATTAATACTTAAGGACTCCGTTTATTAAAAAAAATCATTATTTGTTGTGAGCATAATATTCACTCCGTTTCTCATAATATCGGTTTTGGCCGGCAGATCAAATTGCTATCGGCCGCTGGCCGGCCGTGGTGAATTGTTAAAAGAATAATTAGGGTAGGAAATTGAACCATCATAAAATATATATTAGTCGTTGAATTTTGATCTCTCTAACGTTTTGCTTTGTAGTTTTTTGAAAGGGTAGTTTTTGTTATTTACAGATAAATAGTCTAAAGTTTGTTTGAATGATATGAATTATGAGATATATTTGGAGAATGAGAAATAGTAATAAAAAATATATATTGGCGGTTACCGGCAACATTGATGTAATTGTCTTTCGTATCCAAGAACTTAACTTGATGAATATGACCTCGACATTGTCGCTAAAATCTCGTACGAGTTCAACTATTTTCCTTCCGAATCTCTCACTTTCTAACCAAGCTAATTACTTACAATTTTTTCAACAACATCTAACAATTGACTTACCATAATGTACTATAAGTCTGAAGTCTTGTTTAGTCCGACAAATTCTGTTAAAGAGTGCTATAAGATCCAGCATAACCTTCCCCCAACAATTTGAGTTATTGAAATCAACTGGTTCATGACATGGTATCAGAGTTGGTTTCGCCAAGTGGTCGTGTGTTCGAATCTTCAGAACCCCAATACTAACAGTTGATTAAAAGCACATGGTTTCTCACAGCTGTTTTTTCCCGCTCTCATTTTATAATCTAACGACCTAATTAATATATGATTCCCGCTAAATCCAAGCATATATATACATATGCTGAGTCAATCATATTGTCACTATGCTTTTGGCTTCCAAAGTTCTGAAAATCTATTGACTTTGGTTTCATATAAATCCTTAGAACACAATCAATCCCCTGAAGCAAACCCATTCCACACCAAAAATATGGCTGATTTCCAACCCACATTCTGCCTCTCCTTACTGTCACTCCTCCTTCTGCTGCCGGCGTCCAAAGTCAACTCCCAGCAGCTGCACGGCAACATTTCACTAGGCTCGTCTCTGGCCGCCGGCGCATCCCAAGACTACTGGCTCTCCCCGTCCGGCGAGTTCGCTTTCGGGTTCCAACAAGTCGCCGCCGGCAGGGGCAACACCTTCCTCCTCTCCATTTGGTTCAACAAGATCCCGCAGCGAACCGTCGTGTGGTCCGCCAACCGGAACGAGTTGGTCCCCGAAGGTTCGACCATCAAGCTGACCAAGGACGGGAACTTGATCCTGGCCGACCCGTCGGGTCGGCTGGTCTGGAACCCGAACTCGGTTGGGTCCGGAGTTTCCTACGGCGCTTTGCTGGACACGGGGAATTTCGTGCTGGCCGGTCGGAACTCGGCCGTTTTGTGGGGCAGCTTCGATCAGCCCACTGACACAATATTACCGATGCAAACTCTGGTGAGAGGTAAAATCTCAATTGTGTTCTTCCTTCTGCGCTACAAGAGATAACGGTCGCTAAACGTCAGAATTAGTCACAGAAATGTTTTTGTAACCACTAACTTGGTTGCAATATGTTAGTCATATCTGCGGGTTTAGTGAACCATAATTTCCTGACCACGTTTGGTTTGTCACGATACATAATGATTTTCAATTTCAGTTAAAAACTTATGGGTAAAATGAGCATGAATATGAGTATTTTAGATAATTTCTTAGTCTTATCTGATGTGATGTAGTCATGTAAATAGTGTACGGTGGATATGTATAATATGCCTCTTTACTATGTCGTTTTATTAAATATGTCATTTTATAATGTTTTAGATTAAACATGTCCCTCTATTATTTTTTAGATCAAACATGGCATTGTATTTTGGAAAAATGATCAAACATGCCCTTCTGTTACAATTTTTTTTCCAAAACCGTCAATTACGGTCGAACCTTGGTTTGGACGACACAAATGTCTAAAATATCCCTGATAATTTCACTTAAGAATTTTTTTTTTGGTTCTTCTGTATAGCCAATACCTCTAATAATTTCACTTTAACGAGACCTAGGGAAATAAACCAGGGGACAAAACTGACATTTTTCCTCCCATTTGTCAATATCAGGTCGTCTAAATCTTGGTTCAACCACGATTAAAGATTTCTTCAATTAAAATTTTAACAGAAAAAAAGCATGTTTGATGTAAAAAAATAGTAAAAAAGAATGTTTGATAAAACGGCATAATAAAAGGGCATATTATAACTATAACCCTTCAAATAACAATCTCACTCGCGCGACTTTCATATTCATTTTGTTATCTTAATTATTTACAAACCCTATAGTTTTTTTTTCACCTCGATGTTAGCGATTTCGCGCTAATATGATCGATTTTGACTACATTGAAGGTACCGAGCTAATATCCAAGTACTCCACGTCGAACTACTCGACCGGAAGATTCAAGATCGAGTTTCAAACCGACGGCAACCTGGTTTTCTACACGACCCACTACCCGCAACAGGGCAGCAATTACGCTTACTACGCCAGCTCGACCTTCACCGCCGACAAGGTGTCCTACAACCAATCTGGCTCACTGTCCATAACCTACACCAACGGGACAATACTCGGAAACGTGTTCAATAGTAGGGAATCAACAAAGGATTTCTACCAGAGGGTAACAATTGATTCTGATGGCGTCGTGAGACAATACGTTTACCCCAAGAGAAATAACAACAACGGTACAAACATGTCACGATGGCCTATGGAGTGGACCGTTTCGGATTTCCAGCCGTCGAACATATGCACCGGAATCAGAGGAGTCATAGGCAATGGCGCTTGTGGGCTCAACAGTTACTGTCGGATGGAGAGTGGCATGTTCCCTAGATGTGACTGCCCACAAGGGTACGTTTTTAAGGATCCACTGGATCAGAGCAGTGGTTGTGTGAGGAATTTTGCTCCTCAGGATTGTCTTGTGAAGGAGGGTAGTCGTGACGATGGCGACCAGTTCGATCTCGTGGAGATGGTCAATACCGATTTCCCGAATGGGGACTACCAGATTCTGGTGTCGGTTTCGGAGGACACGTGTCGTGGGGCGTGCTTGAGTGATTGTCTTTGCGACGCCGCGCTTTACAGAGGTGGGTTACGTTACGTTATGCTCTCTGTGCGCTTCTTAGTAGTTGTCTCTCTTTTACGAATCTCGACACGTAATGTTTGAAATTATTTCGACGGAAAAAAAAATGAACGAGGGTGTGAATGATTCGAGCATATTATCATGTTGGTGGCCCCGTTGGCCCGATAACACAATAGGGCAATATATTGTGTCGTATCCTACCGACTCATGGTTTGTTTTAAGAAATTTATTTAGTGATGATGGACTAACATTGATTTTTCTTTTGAACATTTTGGGATACTTAAAGTTAATTGGACTTTTGGAATAATGCAGGTGGAACCTGCTTTAAGAAGAGGATGCCAATGTCGAATGGGAACGTGGACCTATCGAATGGAGGGAAAACTCTGTTCAAAGTCAGGAGGCAGAATTCCACTTCCACTACGAAGAAGAAAGATCATCAACCGCTTCTTAACGCGACCGTTGGATGGTTTCTCTTAGGCAGTTCAATTTTCGTTAACATCATCTTTGTCTTAGCTAGTTGTCCATGGAGGAAGAATCCCCTAAATAGCAAAGTTGGTGAAACCCTAGATCAAGGAGGTTTATCTTCGAACCTTCGGAGATTTGCATACAAAGAGATGGAAGCAGCAACAGGAGGGTTCAAGCAAGTTCTTGGTAGTGGCTCTTCGGGCACGGTTTACAAAGGTGTCATCAACGATCACAACTCGGAAAAATTAGTTGCAATCAAGGTGCTCGACAAAGTTCATGTGATGGAAGGCCATGATGTCCGTGAGTTCGCCACGGAGGTGACCATAATCGGCGAAACGAACCACAAGAACTTGACGAGACTCGTGGGGTTCTGCAACGAAGGGCAGCATCGGGTTCTGGTTTACGAGTTCATGAGCAATGGTTCTTTAGCCGATTACTTGTTCGGAGGAGGAGGTGAAACGAGGCCTAATTGGTATACGAGGACCCAAATAGCTTATTCGGTTGCTCGAGGGCTCGTTTACCTTCACGAGGAATGCAACACTCCGATAATCCACTGCGATATCAAGCCACAGAACATCCTCCTGGATTGCTCGATGACAGCCAGGATCTCGGATTTCGGCCTTTCGAAACTCATGAAGGCGAATCAGACCCGAACCACAACAGCAATTCGCGGGACCAAAGGGTACCTGGCGCCGGAGTGGTTTAGGAACGTGCCCGTGACGCCTAAGGTCGATGTGCACAGCTTCGGAATCGTGCTCTTGGAGCTTGTTTGTTGTAGGAAGAACTTCATGATGGAAGTCGAGAAGGAAGAGGAGATGGTGCTCGTGGATTGGGCTTACGATTGCTATAGCAAAGGGAAATTGCATAAGCTGGTTGGGGATGACAAAGACGCAATGGAGGATTTGGTGAGAGTTGAGCGGCTGGTGAAGGTTTCGATCTGGTGTATTCAGGAGGATCCATCGTTGAGACCTAGCATGAAGAAAGTTGTTCACATGCTGGAAGGAGCTGTCCTTGTTTCAGAACCGCCCGATCCTAACTCCTTCATGAGTGCCATATGAAATATGCAACTCTTTTTTCATCTCTCATTCTTTAGAAGCTTGAAATTTCTCTTTTGGGTGTGTTTGTTTGAGAGCTAATGATGTACATATGTAGTAATAACTATTGGGTAGTGCTAATTCTAAGATAGATTATTGGTTCATTTTAAAGTCATATTCAAGTTGCTTTCTCCCTATTGAGCAAGTCTTCATGTACCAAGGCACTGTTGACTGTTTTGATTTCAGCTCATTTTTTCTCAAATCAGTGTAGTTGATTATGCATTTCATTTGTCTAGTGTGCTTACTTCCTCTATATTAGGTTAGTGTGCTCTTTTCTTGAAGCTAATATTGCAATTATTTTCAAACTTTCGGTTATCATCATATGGTTCATGTGTCGAACTTGTTTTGTGCTTCTACGTATTCTGTCAACAGGGTCTTCATCATTTGATTGATTAGCGCACACTTAGAACTTAATAATCTTTTTTCTACGAGAAATTTAGTTATACCAACAACTAAATACATGAAGTAATGAAAAATTATAAAGCTACATGTTTTTATTAAATTTGGGAATGAATAATAATAAGATACTGCTCTAGGGTTTGATTTGGACAGGCAGATTTAAATGAATATGATTATAGTTTTCATCGGCAATAAACTGTTTAATTAGCAAACATTATCGCCCTCGTCTCTTTCTTCCTAAGCTCTATTCCCATTCGGCAGATTCTTCTCTCCTCTGTCTCCGTCCACTCTTTCTGGCCGGCCGAAGCTGATTAAGCTAGCTACAAAGTCATATTACAAAAGTCTTGTTTATGTACAATTAAGTTTGGACCAAATGATCATCATAGCAAAATAACATTTTAATTTCTCTTTCCACCCAATAACATTCTAACATAAACAAATTGTGTCTTACATATTTGAATTTCTTTTCATAAATAATCTCTCATATTCAAAGGATGGGAGACTTTGTTTGTTCAGTGAAGTCGTGATTTCGGTGGCAGACCTATCTCAACTTTTGTATTATGGTAATTACAAGCAATATTTTCAACAACATTTAAGAATCAATTTAACCCTAAGCTATACAACAAGTCATCGCAGTTTCTAGCTCGAAAATTGTGTTCATGATTAACACTTCAAGTCGGTGTTTTGGATTTATTTTGAAAGATCTAAAGCAAATAAGATATTATTTACTATTGAATATCTTCTAATAGCTTGATTTATTGGAACGATCTAATAGATTCATTTTTTGATCCAACAAGAAAGTAAATCAAATTGACCTCGTATATCCTTCAAGCTAAAGCATAAACAAAAAGATCGAACAAACAAAGAGTAAGTTGAGATTCGAACTCACAATCTCGAAGTTGCAGTATACTCTCTCAAACACTAGGACAAAACAATATTTTCGACTTTGAATTTGTTAAGAAAATAATATAATCACTAGTTATTAATTATATTAAACTACATATAAATACAAGTTACACTAGTTAATTATCTCGCCATTCAGGAAAAAAGATCGGTAAGACATATTCTAGGGTTTGATATGGACATAGAAAATATGTGTTTAAGAGTTTGATCGGCAAGGAACTGTTTAATTTGCAATATTTGCCACTCTTTGTGCCCGAACTTTATCCCTGTTCGGCAGATTCTTCTTTCTCTTTGTCTCTATTCACCATTTTTGGCCGGCCGAAGCTCCGATGAAGCAAAAGTTTTTCCAAGCTGGCCGCCTGCAGAGGCTTGTTAATTAACAATGGTCACGTCTCATTATTTCAACTTGCTTAACAATTGTAGTGGTTATAAAGTCGTTTGTTGTTTGATGGACAAATGCTCGATCGCCGCACCACGTTGGAATCATTGACAAATTACTCACTAATAGTGTTTATTAAGTATAAACAAAATAATTATAGTTGCCTTGAAGGTAGGACTGACTAGCACGATAGTAATTGTAACGACAGAATGAGTAATCTACGGTGTAAAAAAATAAAAGCACTTGATTTGCTATTTGTAGGGCGTGTGTTAGTCAGTCCACAAGCATAAGAGACTAGTTTGTCAATAATTGTATTGAGTTTGTGAGAAGGATTTTATTAGTCACCTTCTCCATGCCCTAAACGAAAAAGACCGGAACCAAACCTAGAAATGAAAATTACCGAAACGGATTCCAACTAGAGAAGACAAAAGTGTAAAATGTTGGAACAAGGACTCGAACCCTTTGTTTGCTGGGAAGCTCGCTGAATTCTTGAATATACCAATTGTAGTACCGCAAGATAAACCCCTTATTTATATAGTTAGGTACTATTTAATGGATCCAAATCTCGACCTGTATGTTGAATACCAGTGAAAATACCTACCACACTGCCACTAGACCAAACTCTATTTGTCAAGATTAAGAGTTAGTCGTTTGTTTAGAGGTCAGGTTAGTAAGTTATTTTAGCATACTCTAATTTGGAGGGTCATAGGGGTTGAGTCTATTGATTAAGTGCCTAGATTAGTGCCGCCAATATGGCCTTGGACTTGCGCCGGCTAAGCTCTGGTATTTTGATTTGGCTTTATATAAAGTCATCTAAGCAAGCATCAACCTCCCCAAAGAGCAAAATCATTTCCAGCAAATGGCTAGTTATTATTCTCCCCAACCCAAATTCTACTACTACTACTACTCGTCGTTAATATTCATCTGCCTATCCACCCTGATGTTCAGAATCAACTCCCAACCTGCACCCCGCAACATTTCATTAGGCTCATCGCTCACCGCCGGCGCCGCATCCAAGGACTACTGGCTCTCCCCGTCGGGGGAATTCGCTTTTGGGTTCCAACAAGTCGCCGGCAGCAGCGCCAACGGCTTCCTCCTAGCCATTTGGTACAACAAAATCGCACAAAAAACCATCGTGTGGTCAGCCAACCGGAACGAGTTGGTCTCCTCCGGGTCGACCGTCAAGCTCACCAAGGACGGCAGCTTGATGCTGGCCGACCCGTCGGGTCGGCAGATTTGGGGGCCGAACGGAGTTGGGACCGGAGTTTCCTACGGCGCCCTATTCGACACCGGAAACTTCGTACTCGCCAATCGAAATGCTACCGTTTTATGGGGAAGTTTCGATCAGCCAACCGATACGATATTACCTAGCCAGATTATGAAAAGAGGTACAAAAAAGTTTATGTTGTCATCAATCCGATGACATCAAATTCATTACACCATAGAATTAGATAGGTTGGATTTGAGTTTTTCGTCTATACAATAAGTTCATTGTTACTAAGAAATGAACAATCCTCATAACAAAAAAAAATTAACATTCACATTACAAGCATTTTTGTTAAATTTTCTCTCTAACATCGTGATGTGTCACTAACTTGAAGGTACCGAATTGATATCCAAATATTCGCCGGCGAACTACTCCACCGGAAGATTCAAGTTCACACTCCAAAACGACGGCAACCTGGTGGCCTACACTACTTTCTACCCACAAACAGGCAGCAATTACCCGTACTGGGCGAGCAATACCGCCGGAAGCTCCGTCAATTTCAACAAATCCGGCAACGTCTTCTTCTCCTCCGCCAACGGAACGATCCTCCTCTACCTGTTCACGAACCAAGAACCGACCCAAGAACTACACCAGAGACTTACAATCGACCACGACGGCGTCATCCGGCTGTACGCCTACCCAAAACAGAGCAGTCCTTCCGCCGGCAGGAGATGGCCGGCGGAATGGACGACGCTTGGTTTCATGCCGAAGGAGAACATCTGCGCCCTGATGCGAGAGGACACCGGCAGTGGGGCTTGCGGGTTCAACAGTTACTGCCAGATCGAGGATGCCCAGTTCCCCAAATGCAAATGCCCACAAGGGTACAAGTTCGTGGACCATTCCGACGAGAGCAGGGGATGCTTGAAGACTTTCCCCCCGCAGGACTGTTCTTCCGCGGAGAAGGAGGACGGGCTGTTCGATTTGGTGGAGATGGTGAATACGATCTTCCCATCAGGGGATTACGAGTATTACGAGTCGATCTCGGAGGACATGTGTCGCGAGCTCTGTTTGAGCGATTGCTTGTGCGATGCGGTGACTTACGAGCGCGCGTCTTGCTGGAAGAAGAGGGCGCCACTGTCGAATGGCTACATGGATCAGGAGAATACAGGGAAGACTCTGCTGAAAGTTCGGAGGCAGAATTCGACTTCGACGGCGGAGAAGAAGAAGAAGCATGATCGATCGATGAGGCTGATGGTGACTGCGGGATGGGTTCTTCTGGGTAGCTCTGTTTTCGTCAATTTACTGTTTCTCGTAGCTGGCTGTCCATGGAGGAACAAGAATCGGATGATGAGCCAAGTTGCTGATGACTCGGATGAAGCGACGGCTCTGTCCACGAATCTCCAGAGGTTTACGTACAGAGAGATGGAATCGGCGACGGAAGGGTTCAAGCAAGTGCTCGGCAGCGGTGGATCCGGCACGGTTTACAAAGGGGTTCTTGGCGAAAGATCGGGGGAATTGGTTGCAGTCAAAGTGCTCGACAAATTGCCTGAGAGAGATGGCCACGACGTGAGGGAGTTCGCCACGGAGGTGAAGATAATCGGCGGGACTAACCACAAGAACTTGGTGAAGCTGGTGGGATACAGCAACGAAGGGCAGCATCGGCTTCTGGTTTACGAGTTCATGAGCAATGGGTCGTTGGCCGATTCGCTGTTTGGAGGAGGGTCGTTTCCCAGGCCCAATTGGTATACGAGGACCCAGATAGCTTACTCGGTCGCGAGAGGACTGGTTTACCTTCACGACGAATGTAGCACTCAGATCATTCATTGCGACATCAAGCCGCAAAACATACTTCTAGACGAAGGAATGACTGCCAGAATCTCGGATTTCGGGTTATCCAAGCTTATGAAGGCCGATCAGACCAGGACCACTACCGCGATCCGTGGGACCAAAGGGTATTTGGCGCCGGAGTGGTTCAGGAATGTGCCCGTGACGGCTAAGGTCGACGTGCACAGTTTCGGCATTGTGCTTCTGGAGCTAGTTTGCTGCAGGAAGAACTTTTTGCTGGATTTCGACAAGGAAGAGGAGATGGTACTGGTGGACTGGGCCTATGATTGCTACAGCAGAGGGAAGTTGTATAAGCTGGTGGAGAAGGATGAGGAGGCAATGGAGGATTTGAAGAAAGTGGAGCGATTTGTGAAGGTTGCATTGTGGTGCATTCAGGAAGATCCTTCGTTGAGACCTGGAATGAAGAAAGTTGTTCATATGTTGGAAGGGGCTGTTCCTGTCTCTGAACCTCCCGATCCTAACTCCTTTATGAGTGCCGTATGATATGCTCGATCACTGAGAATTTTTGCTATTTGGGTATCTTTTGTGAAATCCTTTAGAATCTAAACTTGTACATATGTAATAGAAATAGTTTGAGTTTACGAGACAAATGTACTATGGATACAAAAGTTTTAAGATCCTTTAACCTTGTGACTTGTGAGCACAAGGAAAAGACACAAAAGAATTTTCTCACCAATCCCGAGTGTTGGCAATTTGAATGGAAACAAAGACCGATGCAAGTTCTTGACTTTATGATTATCAAAGTCTCTTTACCTCTGCTGATTAGACCTAATTTGCGTCTATCATGAAGCGAGTAAAGATATTAAAGCATTCGTTCCGCTCTTTGTCACTGTTATTTTTAATAGTTAATTTATGCTAGTTTTTTGGCCGCGCTTCGCGGCTGTAAGAATTTGATCATATCTAAAATTTGGTCCACTCTCTTACTCATTTAATGATTAAGTCGAGTATATATATCTTGACAATTTTCTATGTAGTTTCTTAATTATATAGAAAACTTATATAATATGTTTGTTTAAGTGATGCTTAAGAAATAACTATCCATTTATAAGTTTTAAATAATGTATTCATAATTTAAATAAAAGTGGGAGAACGAAGTTACCTAAATCTTTCATAATATATGGTCTAATAATAAAATCAAGTTATGAAAAATATCATATTTGATTAAACTACAATGAAAAAGTTAACTTGCCTTATAGATTTTGCATAATGCAAATTGTTAATTATTATTTTTTATTTAATATATTTATAATATGTAAATCCTTCGTAATGTGAAATGAAAGAGTATCGAGATATTTGTCTAAAGGTGAAAGATTTTAGGGTTAAATTGAGTGCATGAGATTGAAAAAAAATTGATTAAACAACTGACTGTGAGAAAAAAGAGGTTATGGTAAAATTGAGTGTTGAGTACCAAAAAATCCGCTGAAAAATGAAAAAGTAGCGAGATAGCTGTCTAAAGGTAAATACAAAATTCTAGTGAAATTGGATGCAAAAAAATGAAAAATAAAAAAAATATATAAACAGCTGACTATTGGCTAAAAGATGATAGTAAAACTGAGTATAGAGTATATAGATATCTTGAATTTTTTTTATGTAGTTTCTTAACTATCACAGAAAACTTATATAGTACGGTTGTTTAAGTGATACTTAAGAAATAACTACCCATTTATAAGTTTTAAATAATGTATTCATAATTTAAATAACAGTTTTAGAACGAAGTTACCTAAATCTTTCAAAATATGTGGTCTAATAATAAAATCAAGTTATGAGAAATATCATATTTGATTAAACTACAATGAAAAAGTTAATTTACATTACAGATTTTGCATAATGCAAATTGTTAATTATAGTTTTTACTTAATATATTTATTATATGTAAATCCTAGTATCGAGATATTTGTCTAAAGGTAAAATAGTTTATGGTGAAATTGGATGCAGAAAAAATATTTGATTAAACAACTGACTGTGAGAAAAAAAAGCTTATGGTAAAATTGAGTGTTGAGTACAAAAAAATCTGTTGAAAAATGAAAAAGTATTGAGATAGCGGTCTAAAGATAAATACAAAATTCTAGTGAATTTGGATGAAAAAATGAAAAATAAAAAACTACATAAACAATTGACTATTGGCTAAAAGATGAAAATAAAATTAAGTGTAGAGTATAAAAAATCTAGTAGCTATTGAATGGGGGAAAATCTCATTAACAACTGATTGTAGGAAAAAAGTTACTATAAAATTGGTCAAATCAGATATAGAGTATAAAAAACATAACAACAATTATAGGTTGGGTTGTTAATAATTAGTGGCCGGTGATATATGTTAACTTTATTTAATCCATATTATATTGGGTTGATTGTTATGAGGGAAGAAGGAGATGTTGTAAATGAGTCCACGAAAAAAAGACCCTCTGATGAACATTAACCCCATGTTTTGAGCGATAAAATCGTAAGGAACAGTGCTCAATACTTGCACTTTTAATTAATTGGCTATTGAATGTGGGAAAATCTCATTAACAACTGATTGTAGGAAAAAAAAGTTACTATAAAATTGGTCATATCAGATATAGAGTATAAAAAACATAACAATTATAAGTTGGGTTGTTAATAATTAGTGGCCGGTGATAAATGTTTGCTTTATTTAATCCATATTATATTGGGTTGATTGTTATGAGGGAAGAAGGAGATGCTGTAAACGAGTCCACGAAAAAAAAACCTCCGATGAACAATAACCCCATGTTTTGAGCGATAAAATCGTAAGGAACAGTGCCCAATACTTGCACTTTTAATAAAATTGGTCATATCAGATATAGAGTATAAAAAACATAACAATTATAAGTTGGGTTGTTAATAATTAGTGGCCGGTGATAAATGTTTGCTTTATTTAATCCATATTATATTGGGTTGATTGTTATGAGGAAAGAAGGAGATGCTGTAAACGAGTCCACGAAAAAAAAAACCTCCGATGAACAATAACCCCATATTTTGAGCGATAAAATCGTAAGGAACCGTGCCCAATACTTGCACTTTTAATTAATTGATTGATTGATTTTGGAAAGAAAACCTACCTTTAGGTAAACTGTAAACAAACCCAAGCTTGGTAAAAGACTTTCCCTATATGCTTCGATTATTGAATTCTTGAACTAATACGGAATTCAACTTTGACCAACCAGCGTCTATCATGGGGGAAATTAGAGCCCACCACAGGCCACAGCTACCTTTTTCCTCCGCGCGCGGGCGTCCAAATTCTTCTTCGATTCCCGCAACCATGAACGATCAAGAAAGAAGGCGATCACCATGTACGACGTCAACCACCAGAATCCTTCTGCCTCACGCTGTGGTCTTTATCTCTATCTCGAACCCGCCCTGCGCGGTAAAAGTTAGGGATGATGGTGGTGGCACTGAAGGTGTTCGACGAAAGTCCTCAGAGGCATGATGCATGGGGCCAGGAGACAAAACGGAGGCGTATATCTAGGTGGATTCCCCGGTGTTTGAGCAAGTGGGTTCAATCTATATCTCAAACTACATGTCGATGGCTTCACTGTTGTGCTGATCCCCCCCTCTTTATGAACGACCCAGACGGTATTAATTGATCGTAGTCCAAGTAGGCAGGGGAGGAAAGTTCAGCATTGCCATTCAGTGAACGTCTCCATTTTCAAGTGAGTACTGGGTACTGAGTATAGGCGCTATTCGATCTATATTCAGATGGTCTCTCTCTTCCCCTCTTTAGTTATGCTTCAGCCTTAATGACATTTCACTGTTTTTGTCTGGGTAGTTGGGACGGACTGCAAGTGGCCTGGTCAAAATTTATCTAATGCATTCGCGATGCTAGCTTAGGCTGACTGGGAGCTATCAGCAGAACATAGGTTGCTTGCCCAAAGTCGTTCCAATACTTGGTGGGAGAACTTCCTGTTCTGTCAGTGCAATTTGCATGGAGCTGATTTGGACTCGTTCAAACAACCTGCAAATGACTTGATGAGAGCCTGGGCTAACTCCTTACTTGTCTGCGATTTATTGCATTTGGGGCTCACGTATGAGTTTTGAACTTGCTACAAGGGCTACAAAAGGTAGCAGCATTGTTACCCATATGTATCCACCATGTTCTGGTTTAAGAAGCGGCTATGCTTTTAAATACTAGGTCTTTTCAACAATGGCTTCTCAGTCAATCCACTGATGTTAGGCGGGGATTATAAATAACTTCTGTTACAGTAGATGTTGCCATAGGAGCACTTGACGAATTCAAAACTGCTTGAATCTTTCCATTCCTCGTTAGCCAGACTGGGAAGGTTCAACTAACCTTGGGCTCCATGCCAATCAGTGAGCAGTCTCCATTTTCAAGTGAGCATATCTATCCCTTCTAATTATCTGCATCCAGAACATCTCTCTTACATTCTTTAATTCTGCTTCATGACATCTCATCTGGTTAATTTTGAATAAAATTGCAATCTGTATAGCCTTTACTTGAGACATATTATTGAAGATGAGTGCAACTATTAACCTTGTTATGGTAAAGTTTATTCATCCTCAGCTAAAGTAGGACAGAATTGGCTCAGTCAGTGTGAAACATAAAAGTAACAATGGGTTTAGTTAGAGGTTAATTAGATCAGCAGACGGTCAGTTTACGTATGAAGATGTCGTTTACATTTGAAGTTTTCTCGATCTTTTATCATTTTTCCTGTTAACTAATTTCATTGGAAAAAAGCTTGTCATTTGATTGGATTCTTTCCCTTTCACCGCCTGCAATTTGCATGAGGCTGATACTGACATGGGCGTTGAATTTCAGGAATCCAGTTGGAGTTCTTAAAAAGCAAAGCCGCTTCTTAACCAAAACATTGGCATTTCTCAGCAATGTCTTCTCTGTCGAAACTCCACTGCACATTCTCCTTCTTCCTCCTCCTATTGCTGCCATTCCCGGCCGACTCACAACCTACCAGCACCAACATCTCACTCAGCTCCTTCCTCACCACAACATCAAACGCCTCCTGGCTATCCCCATCTGGCGATTTCGCCTTCGGGTTCCAACGAATCAACATCCAGGCCTTATTCCTGCTTGCAATATGGTTCAACCGAATCCCGGAGCAAACCATCGTATGGTCTGCAAACCGGAACAACCCTGTTCCAACCGGATCCAGGGTTCAGCTCACCTCGGATGGCCTATTGGTTCTCACTGACCCATCTGGAAGATCTATTTGGACTGCCAACTCTGTTAGAACTGGAGTTTCTCATGCATCCATGCTCGATACTGGAAACTTTGTGCTGGCAGATAGCAACTCTTCCAATTTATGGGGCAGTTTTGATCAGCCGACCGATACATTGTTACCCACCCAGACACTGAATCAAGGTGGGGAACTGATCTCCAAGTATTCCAGGTCAAATCACTCGAGCGGAAGGTTCAAGTTGATCCTGCATACTGATGGCAACTTGATGATGTACACCACAGCATATCCTCAAGAAAAGGAAGTCTATTCTTACTGGTCGACCGAGACTCTTCCTGAAGGCTACAGAGTGATGTTCAACCAGTCTGGGTTAGTCTACTTGATGGCAAAGAATGAAACCGTGCTTAGCTACCCACTCGGTACAGATGGAGAATCAACGCAGGATTTCTTCCAACGGGCGACCATGGATTACGATGGTGTGTTCAGGAAATACTTGTACCCCAAGAGTAATACCTCTTCTGGGGGAAGCGGATGGGCAATGAAATGGAACACACAAGCTATCCAACCGCCAAATATATGCACGAGCGTCAGAGGACTCTATGGTGGCGGAGCCTGCGGGGTTAACAGTTACTGCCACATGGAGAGTGGTCGAGAAGAGAATGCTGCTAGTCCCAGCTGCAAGTGCCCTCCTAGGTATGTGTTTATGGATCCCTCTGATGAGAGCAAAGGCTGCATGAAGAACTTTGCATCTCACGACTGTCGTGCAGAATCAAACGGAAGCGGTGATGGTCAGTTTGATATCATGGAGATACCCAGTACAAACTGGCCGGATTTTTTCTACGACCAGCTGGAATCACAGACGGAAGGTATGTGCCGACAGGCTTGTCTCAGTGATTGCTTGTGCGACGTGGCGATTTTCTTGGGTGGATTTTGCTGGAAGAAGAGGATGCCTCTAACCAATGGGAGAATGGAAGAAGGTGCATCAGTCAAAGCCCTGATCAAAGTAGGGAGATCTAACTCTTCATCATTTGCGTATCCAAGGAAGAAAGATGAATCAAGTCTGAAACTTACTGGAGGGCTGCTTATAGGAAGTTCAGTCTTCCTTAATCTGCTCTTACTGTCGACAACCCTACTTTTCTTTTCATGGTGGAGGAGGAACAACAAACGAGGACAACTTCACCCAACTTCCTCTGTGAATCTGCTGAGCTTTTCATACAGCCAGCTAGAATCAGCAACAGGAGGGTTCAAGGAGGTTCTGGGTCGTGGCGCTTCTGCAACAGTTTACAAAGGGATTCTTCAGAACGTTGGAGAAACAGTTACCATTGCAGTGAAAAAGATGGACAAGTTGTGGGGTGTAGAGGAAGGGGAAGACGATAATCGAGAATTCACCACGGAAGTCAAAGTCATAGCCGGAACGAACCATAAGAATCTAGTGAAACTCGTGGGAGTCTGCAGCGAAGGCAAAAACCACCTTCTGGTTTATGAGTACATGAGCAATGGCTCCTTAGCCAGCTTGCTGTTCAAAGCAGATCCGAGGCCTAATTGGTACACAAGGACCCAAATTGCCATCTCAGTCGCCAGAGGCCTGGTCTACCTCCATGAAAAATGCAGCACCCAGATCATCCACTGCGACATCAAGCCACAGAACATTCTCCTAGATGAGTCTTTGACTGCTAAAATCTCGGACTTCGGGCTGGCCAAGCTTCTGAAGGTGGAGCAGACCCGGACCATGACTGCTATTCGTGGGACCAAAGGCTATGTGGCTCCTGAATGGTTCAGGAACATGGCAATCACCACAAAGGTTGATGTTTACAGCTTTGGGGTCGTGTTGCTGGAGCTCGTCTGTTGCAGGAGGGGGTTTGAGATGGAGGGTTATGAGGAAGAGGAGATGGTGCTTGTGGATTGGGCTCAGGAGTGTTATGGTGCGAGGATGGTGAGAAGGTTGGTGGAGAAAGATGAAGAGGCAATAAAAGATTTGGTGAAAGTGGAGAGGTTTGTGAAGATTGGGCTGTGGTGTGTTCAGGAGGATCCGTGTTTGAGACCTGAGATGAAGAAAGTGGTTCATATGTTAGAAGGGGCTGTCGAGGTCTCTGTTCCTCCAAGTCCTGCATCATATATCAGCACTGTTTAATATGTTGTATCCTTCAGTTTAGTCTTTGAATTTCCAAAAGTCGGTTTATGAGTTTTGTTTGTCTTTGTTGAACTGTAATTTCGTTTGGACAAGAAATGAATCAGTAAGATGAATGACTTCACAATCTGTTTATGAATAATGAGACTGTACTATATTGGTTGTGGACAGAGTAGGCAGGGAAAAGGAAGGCTCAGGAATGCGAGGTCTCCATGGTAATCAATGAGCAGTCTCCGTTCTCAAGTGAGCATCGCTATTCCGTCTACATTCAGAAGGTCTCTCTCTTGCCCATTTAACTGTTCTTTTGTCTCTGATCATTTGAATTTGAATTTGCTAAAAGAAGCCTTGACCTGCGATGATCTTTCTTTATGTGCTGAAGTATTTTTTTTTTTTTTTTCCTTTGAGAGTTATGTTTGGCAGGGATTATAAATAATTTCTGTTACAGTCGATGTTGCCATGTTGGTATCGAATTTGGAGCTCATTTTGACGAATTCAAAACTAATTGAATCTTCCCATTCCTCGTTGGCGGGGGATACTTCTCATAGCAGCATGCAACTGCAAGTGGGTTCAATCAAATATATATCCCAAATGGGATGTTGATGGCTTCACTATTTCACTAAACCAATGGTTGATCGAGTAGGCTGCCAGATAGGGAAGGTTCAACGAATCTTGGGCTCCATGCCAATCAGTGAGCAGTCTCCATTTTCAAGTGAGCATATCTATCCCTTCTAATTATCTGCATCCAGAACATCTCTCTTGCATTCTTTAATTCTGCTTCATGACATCTCATCTGGTTAAATTTTGAATAAAATTGCAATCTGTATAGCCTTGACTTGGGGCATATTATTCCTACCCATGAGCTAAGTTGGGCAGAATTGGCTTAGCCAATGTGAGACATAAAAGTAACCCATTCACCCCGAATGGCACTAGCTAATCAGTTTGAATGGATAATAACATTCATACAAGGTTCAAGAAGGCGTTCGGCGCTAGTCAGTGTGAACACATGCATTTATTATACGCTATGATAGACTTGCCTTTCCCATTTATACTCTGTGGAAAACAGTTCGAGATGGCTGGATACCAATCGAGTTAAATTGATTTGCAGGGTACCTGCATCTAGCTGGCTGGCTACCATGGAGGAGAGTGCATCCCGAGAAGAAGACACTTCGAGTTACAGCCTCGAATATAAGGAGAGGAGCACCTTACCAGCATCCACGAGCTGACGGATGCGATGCTCAGAACGTGGACAGCAGAACAACTCCGGCAAGCATCGGGTCTCCCCGGAAACTGAGGTTCAATGGTGCATCAAGAGGCTAGCTCCTGGAACTGGGGGAAATGGTGGTGGTGGGGACGATTTATTATTTGCTCCCCAAGTCCTAGTAATACTAAGAAATATTCTACACCAAAAATTGTGTGTGGCTAAGTTAGTAAAAGGTAATACACTGGAAAGTTTTGCAAAAACTAACTTTAAGTTTGATAATATGGTTTGTAGCTAGGAGAGTTTGGCGGTTGTGGTTACTAGCGTGCAAGGTTTTGGTCCGCATTGGATTGCACCATATCACATCTGACATTTGTATCCGACAATATCTCATAATTAGTTAAACAATTTAGGTAATTTATTATGATTCTTAATCTTGATGAGTCGACAGACTTATTAGATATAGCAATAGATCGACTGATTGAGTAATTTGATTCAATTGTCATGATACATATGGGTATTAGGTCATATCCAAACGAACTTGTATACTCAATTACTTATCTTGGCCATTTGGGGGAAAAAAACATTATACTAATGTTGTTTCGATTGTCATTCTAACATTTTTTTTTCTTTGTCAGGAAAAAACAGAGTGCTTAAAGGATGCCACAATCTTGATGTACTAATGATCAAAGTTAAGAGACCACTAATCTTATTGGCAACTATTTCCAACTGGCAGGCTTTGGTTGACTGTCCATCACTAACTGGAGGGAAGTTCTGGAACAATAGCATTCTTGTCCTGCCCAATAAAAAGCCCATAAATCAACCAACCTCTTTACTTTTGCTCCAGAAACACTTTGGTCCCCTCACCTAGTATGCTAATTCCTTACTAACTCCCCAAGTTCTCAATTTTGTTGTTTCTTGTGGCTAAAACTCCCAATCTTTACTTCTTCTTTTTTTTTAAACTCCCAATCTTATATTTTCTTTGGATGGTCTTGCAGCTTTCTTCTTTTTTTTTAAATGAATATAGAGGAAAATTTCTTAGTCAACTATTTCGCACATAAAAGTTTTTTGTTCCTCTATTTTTATACTATATTCCTCGTGTTTTAATTGCTCTATGTTCAGGAATAATCGACTTTTTCCATTTTTTTATGATCTAGAGAATAGACGTTTCTAGTTGCAAAATTTTTCAGTTTCATCCATAATGTTCAAACAACCTATATAGTATACACAACATTCTTTTGAAAGTGTAATATGGGGAGTTTCATCATTCTTGTTAGTGCTTTCTCTCTCCTTCCTATAGTTATCTGGATGATCATACTAATTTGTCATTATATTTGGACTTCAAATTTATGTTGGGGGGTAGAGTTCAAATTTAAACATATCCATCACCCCACAATAACATCCATTTCACTAATTCACTATGACAATTATATTTTAGATTTAGAATGAGCCAATCCTTCAATTTCAAGAAAATTATCTCCATTTTTCAGCCTAGAATGATGAACTTGGTCAACATCGCATATAGCATTGTCATGTTCACTATCATATCTTTGTTGAGTTTAAAAAGAATTTATATTCTTGATTCATTCATTGCATAATTTCAATTCAATTTTTTTTTATAATAATATTTTGCATGTTAATAGAAAAAGCCTAAATAATTTTAGGTTGGTTAGAAAAATTTACTAATGGCCAATTTTACAGAGTGGCATATGGTAAAGTACAAAACACCACACATGAGCAAATGTATACTTACTTACTGACACTCTACTAGACTTCCCATTTCTACCCCACATACACCCTGAATACCGCCTTAATTACACATGTTGCCACCCAATCTCAAGTCTCGCAACAAACCACACTACCACCATCATTTTCAGATTACATTGCAATCTGAAAAATACACAGTAAGACGCACAGAGGCGACACAAACACAGCAGCCAAGCCAGTCTCTGCTGCGTAAGAGAAAATCAATCCAGCAATTATCTCTCTATTCTTTCTCTCTTCCTCTTTTTGCCTCTGTACCCTTTTGCTTATTTCCTCTGCTGCTCTCTTTCTTTCTTTCTTCTTCTCTTCTCCCAAACTCTCTGGTCTTTGCTTGTGCCGTCAATGCAAAATCATCAACGCATAATTGAATCTCAGTGTTTTTTTATCTGGGTACCGACTGTTTCTTTTTAGATCATTGATTTTTGGGGAGAATCCACCTGGTTCTTGGTCGTTTTTCACTTCTCTCGCAGATTCAAAGAATGGGCGTCCATCTCTGTATGCAAATAAGCTTCCTTCAATATCAGGTTTGGGTTTCCCCCCTCTCTGAAACTTGTTTGGAAGGGAGATGAAGAAAGTTTGTTGCTTTGTGGCATATTTTGCATTTCCTTATCTTCAGTCTCGAAGCTCACTTGGTTTTCATTTCTGTTCCTTCCAAGTTCTGTGTGTTGATGAACTGAAGTTTTCTTTTAATGATTTCTCTGGATCTTATTTTCTATTTGGGGGGTTCTATAAACCCCTAGGATTTTATGGTTCCCAGATGTTGAATTGGGTACTTGTGCAGTTGTGCTATGCATTTGTTATGTCTTTCTCTCTGATTCAATCTCTTTTTCCTGCAAATTGGAAACCCCATGCTTATGTCAGTTCTCTTTGGTGGGTCTCTGCCATTACCTTCTTATGTCACTCTTGCATGCTTATAGAATCTTCTGATTTGGTCTACACAGAAGCATGTTTTCTTTTGCTGCTGAAAAAAATATAAGGAAAAGTTCACTAGTTGGAACTTGAAGAGAAGCAGGCAGTCTTGTTCTGTATGCTATGATATAATCCATAAGCCAAAGCTTGTCTTTATCTTCGAGTCTTGGCAAGACTGAGACTTGGCTTATGTTAATATTGCTTCGAGTTACATAGATCATGCATTGATGTTTTATCAGTTCCATCTGAACTTTGAAGTTGGCCTCTTTGGATAATGTGACCTGATAGAGTTAAGTTTAAATCTTATCTAGCTTGACTTGGCATGGAATGTAGGTGTAAGAGGATCGATATTTGTGGCTACATTGGAATCGAATTAGTAATGACCATCTTATCTCTGGCTTTTCAGGGGAGTTCTTCGTTTGTATGAGCTTTCTAATTGTTGAAAGATAGTAAGGAACTTATGGGTAGAGGTAGGGGAAAAGGAAAGAGGTTGACTGTGAGCAATCACGACGATGCTGGTAGTGGCGAAGAAGAGAAGATTCCTGCACAAAAGAGAAGAGGGAGACCACAAAAGCCATTGAAAGATGAGTTCGATGAAGAAGAAATGGAGAAAATGATGGCGGAGGAAGATGGGGTGGAGAATGGGAAGGTGATGAATAACTCTCCTAGCAAAGAGGCGAAAAGTCCAACTGCATCAGAGAATGGTAAGAAGAGGAGACGCAACTCTCAGCTGCAGCAACAGACTAAGGAAAAACAGCCTGATTCAGTAATGAAGGAAGAGAATGTGGTAGTAGCAATTACCAATGACCCAATCAAGTCTAACGGGTTTAGGCAAAACGGGAGCAGGCGGAAGAACAAGCCTCGACGAGCTGCTGAGGCAGGCGTCGAATGCAAGTGACAGGGCCCCAGTGAATGATAGTCTTGTGTCAATATAGGTCTCGATTTTAACTCTGGCGGATGAAGATACAAAGTGAGGCCTTCGGAAACGGAATCTCTTTTAGTTTTGCCATGCTGTTTTTGATCTAATTGTTTTTTCTTCCTTTTGGGGTCGATCATTCGAGCAGCAGGTAACTTCATTACTGTTAGTTTATCTCCTTGTGAGAGTTTCTGAATGCTGATTTTCTGCCTGTAATTGATTGTGATGGTGTTTATGGCTTCATGCAATCCAATCCAGTGGCTTTCATGTACCATATGATGTTCATTTCTTGCTGCACTTTTTCGTTCTTTCGATTGTATGAAATGGCATCTGCAGGAGGTAGCATTTTGTAGTTTAGATCTGTCAAGAATCTCCTTGCCAACTGCCCTTATGTTTGACCATGCTTAGTTTAGAGGCTTAACTATTCAACCTTGCATCCTTATTCTGGTATAATTGCTACTTAAATTACTAGTTCAAATGGCATTTTCATTGGAATGGAAGCAGAAAAGGGATGGTGGGTTGGTTGAGATTATGTTAGTTAAAGATTGGTGTACCTAGATATTTCCATTGTTATTTGACAGGGGTTTTAAATCAACAGAGGAATCTATCTCTTGTTTCTCTGTCCAAACTGAAGTTTGGTAAGACCAAGGATTTTAGGAGTCTTGTTGGCCTTTTGGGTTTCTTGTTTCGGACTCAAAGGTCTCTAACTTAACTGTTGTTGAAGCAAAATAGAGGGGTTGTTTCCTTTTGTTGTAATGATGTTGCTAAATATGAGTTGTTAAAGGACTCATGCACTGTTTTATAAGACCATTATAAGACCATAAAGATAGAATTAGAATTCAAGACTTTGAAAATTAAGGTAATAACAAATTCATAAAAGTGGAGTGGTTAAAATTTAAAGAGTAAGGTTATGATTAAGATCTAAAAGGATGTAAAAATTGTTTTTTTAAGGGTGGTGCGAGGGCAAGAGAAAAGCTAAGGCGCATTTCTTCCTCTTTACTACTTATCATATTTCTTTCCACGCATCTTCAAATTAATCTCATGTCTCGTAAATCAAGTAGTTTCTCGTATTAATTAGGTGTGAGCAAGTTAGTTGCGACTTCTTTTCTTCTTCTCTCATGAAACTGTTTCGATTTACATGAATTTGAACAAGATCATTCATAAATCTAATTCAACATTTCACGAATAATTTAGTCTATCTAGTTGAAAGATCAAGTCTTGATAATTGAAAAAATGTCAAAACAGGAGAAATATAAACATATATTATAAGAAATTGAGATATAATGAACCAACACCCCCACTCTGAAATCCATCCAAGTCGACGAATGTGAAATTGTTGACTGAAAGCAGGGGGCATCTTATTGGGCCCGGGGCTCCGACTAGGCCGTCCATGTGGGCCTGCTGGAATATCTGCTGCTGCTGCTGCCATTTTCTTTAATTATTCAAACCTTGTTCCTCAAGGTTACTTCCTTCCTTCTGCCCTTTACATCCAAAAAGTAAAAGAAACAATGGAGAAAGAATAGCTCGAGATCCGCCCTTTGCCTTTTTTCTGTTGTTTTCCTCTTTCAGCCATTCTTGTGATCTCAGGTACTAAAATCATTAAAGGCATCATATACCTCAAGCTATTACTTCCATTTAGACAGCATGCCAACCAATGGACAAGGGTACAAACTCACTCAATCATGGTTTCACAACAATATCTATTGTTTGATGTCTACGAATTTAATGATGTTTCATAGGGTGTCTCTTTCGTACTCGTATCTCAAATTCCGAATTCACTAGATATGTTGATTATATGGTTTGTGGAGACATCCAAAAAATTATCGTTTTTTAAGGATTGCTAACTCAATTAGCTACATGCGTCTTGAATAACTCCTCGCATGAAATTTCTGAGAGGTGCTTATAAAACAAAAAAATCTACGGCTTATTGGTTAGAAAGATAGTTCCTTTTGGGTATGGCTGGCAATGTGTTGGGTTGGGTTAGGTTTTGACAAACTCAAACCCATGAGTATATGCACCAAAAAAATTCGGAGTAAAATTTATTGGGTTCAAAAAACTCAAACCCAACCCAACACCTCTAGATATCTTCGGGTTTACGGATACCCATGGGCTCTGGGTAGTAAAAAAATGCACAATAACATGTTCTTGTCAATATAAAGTCTACAATCATTCTTCCCATGCAAATTATCTAAACAAAAAACACAAATTTAGAGCATACAAGCAAACAACAAAGTATCCATACAAATTGTTTAATATTAAAGATAAACATCCATAAAGAACATGATTAATGGAAAGGTTCTTCCTCTTTGTCAACTAAACTTCTTGACTCTCCACTCCATAATACCAACTTTATTTTAAACAATTAGGAATAACAAATTAGACATTTCCCCACAAATTAGTTGCTTAAGTAAGATATATTGCTTAGAATATTATGATGGGGGAGTGGTCGAAGGGGAGGGTAAGTGGGTAAAGATTTCATGGTTGGGAACGGGTAGGAGTTGAATTTGGTTGGATATAGTCAAATTCGAACCCAACTCGCAAAACAGTAAACAGGTTTAAGCCTCAATCCGGCCCATAATCCATCAATGCGAATTTTATTCGCGTTGACCGAATTGAGTAGGGTATTGTGGATTTGAATTATTGTGGATTTGAATTAAGTTGACATCCCTACTTTTGAGAGTGGGAGTTCAACTTGCAAGTTGCAACACCGGAACACAAAAAAGAAAAGGGTGTAAAAGGACAAATTTATGGGAAAAGTTAATATGCTAACTTGAAGTTTCGTTAGCAGATACTAACTGATATCCAAAATACATGAATTAATATCCAAGTACTAAAGTATCTAGAGAGCACAGACTAGTATTCAAAGTTTGCTAACTCATATCCACCATGAATCAACTATTATCCCAAATTCACAAACTAATATCTAGACAACACATAATAGTATCCAAACAACACATAATTAGTATCCAGATAACCCATAAGAGTATCCAGATAACCCATAAGAGTATCAATATTGAATACTAGTTGGTTGATTGTGGATATTAGTTGATATATGCTATCTGGATACTAGTTTGTAATGTTTCAAATACTATTCTGTGCTATCTAGATACTTAGCAGACTTGGATATTAGTTCATACATTTTGAATATTAATTAGTATATACTAACGAATTTTCAAATTAACAGAATAACTAGGCTGCAAATTTATGGTTCTCTCCGCCCCCCTCCAAATTGTGAAGAGCTCCATTCTTTGCCTTAGCACAGTACTGGTGGGAAAATATGAAACATGGGCTTGCTTTGATTGGCCCTCTGCGGCTTCTGGTCTTAAGGTTCAGCCCATATGGTTTTCAAAAAAGGGTTCGATTAGCTCTTCCACAAGTGGGCCGGGCCTAAAAATAGATACGAAAGAATGATCATCAACAGTGATCCTAAATTCCATTCTCTACACAAACAGTTATACATCAGAATTTACTTCTCTTGATACAATGAAATGGTGTCTTTTATATAATACTAGCCTTTAGCCCGGCCCGTTGGCCGTAATTGTTAAAGGAAAAAGGAGTAACAATATCTATAATATTAATGCGTTTTGTTTTATAGTATCATAAGCTTATTGAAAATTTGCAATTCGCTGAAAACGAACATGTAACGTGAATAACCATTGAGAATAAGTTAAAAATAAAGCTATTAATGAATTAAAGGGAAATGCATACCATTCACACACAAATTGTAAGGATAAGGAGGATACATTTGAAGAGTAGCTAATCAAGAAAAATATACTACATGAAATCTAACTAATAACAAATATAATATAGTTATGTATTACGAAAAATAATATGGAGGTCCAATATATAAAAACTCAAGGCATTGTCTCAATGTTCATGACATGATATTCAATCAAACAAAGACAAAAATAATTTCACCAACACAAGTTCACAATAACCAAATGCATTGTTCCAAGGACCGATTGTGACCATGACTTCGAATGTGTGTCCTCCAAGCATGTTGAGAAGGGTCATATAGTCAGCATTGACAACATCTGTATGACTGAATACAGACCCAACAATCGTTCGTAACTGTGATGATGGGAAGACAATGTCAACACCGATGAAATCATCCTCAATTGTCAGATGGACGAAATGGATTCTGGATGCAGGGGACCAGGTCGTTGTCAAATCCGTGACACGTCCAGATAACAGAAAAGAGTTGCCCTGATGTAAACACAAAAACAAATATGGTCAAAGGAAATCGAGAAAATAGAGGAAGCCACAATAGGCATAAGATTTAAAAGAAATTTAGTTGTTTTGTTACCTGATTTGCGACATCCACTTGGAACATAATGAGATCGATGGTGTCGGCACGCTCACAAATTTCAAGAGCATCATCGTATCGCAGATTAGCAATAAAACCATGGGGAAGCCTATATATAGTAGACTGTAAGTTTTGGCACTAAGTAGTGAAAAAGAATTGAAAGTTCATAATATAGTATTCGTTTGATGCATGAGCAATACTTACTGATTTAATTGAGGTAGCCCCGCCATATTAAAAGCAATTCGCACGGTGATTGGAGCGGAAGTGTTTTTGTTTGTAAAGTAGTAAACGAAAATTGTAACAACTATCTCTATTATATAAAGGACAAAAAGTGTTTCCAAACTTGAGAAAGTGCTTGCATTGGCGGCATGTATTGGTGTAAGTGTGTGGGGAAAGTGGGGAAAATGGGTTAGTGGCAGAAGTTGGGATTTTGGCGGTTAGTGGGTGGATTTTGACAGTTAATGGGAAAGTGGGTCGTGTTCAATTTTGTAGTGGAGACAATTTGGTATTTTTTTTTATATAAAACCGGATGGTGCATGGTTTCTTTGGGTGCAGCGGGCCATAGGTATAGATAGGTCTTGATATGTAGATCGAGGCCCATGTGGGTAGTGGGCTTTATATTTTCAATTTTCGTGTAGGCGGCCCATAAATAACAAACTGTATTTTCTTGGATACTGAATTTGGTTAGTATAGAGCAGCAAGTGAATTTAACCCATAACTGCAATTAATTTTGACTAAGTGCAATTATCTAAAGCTGAGCTCGCATGCATGATACCGATTAGAAACAAATTGTGCAGCTTCACAGGTGTCAATTTATCCAAAGATTAGGCATATACAGCAGTCGAATTTGGTTAAAATATATTAACTGTCAATATATTCCAATTAAAATTAAATGGTAAATAAAATGTGCGTGTTAATTTGTAAGGCATATATTAAGTTAATCGAATGTCGCAAAAAAATTTGGAAATAATTTGAATTTAGGTCAATCACATGAATTTATATAGGTGAAAATACTAAAATTAATTTAGCTTGTTAATTATCAAAACAGTGGTAACATAAATGCATGTAATCAATTATTGACCGGTTATAATGGGTATGTACAATACAAATCCATTAAAGAAATGTTATTGAATGATAGTTATTTCTTACTTATATATTAAAATTAAATGCATTATGAAGGCTTTCGTAGGAACTTATCACGTTGTATAAAAGGATGACCCATTGCGTCAGGGTTTTGTAATGAACTACTACAACTCTTATGTAATATAAGCATACATTCTTTAATAAATAAATATTGTTTTGTACGCAATGCTAAATGCGAAACATGTTATATTAAATTTCTACGTAATAGAATAACCATTAATTCAGAAAGTGGATGCATAGTACTGGTATTGAGTATGTAGGGATGACGAATAATTTCAAAAGTCCAAAACATAAAAAGGAATGAAAAACACAATACTCTACTACTACTAATTAACCGCTGGGAATAATTTAAGCAGCACCATATCACAATACTGCAGAACAGGGTTCCATGGTCCAACTTTCACCAGCAATTCATATCTTTGACCTTCCAGAGAGTGGAGAATAGAGTTGAAATCCGCATGCAACAAATCATCGGATGGGAGAATAGCTGAAGCAATTCGCCTAAGGTGGCGAGAGGTAAATATGACAGCAACATCACCACTAACATCTACAATTGTTAGATGAATGACAGTTGAGTTTGTAACAGGACACTGTGAAGTCACCAACTCGGTCACATCTCCAATACAAAGATAGACTTGTTCCTAATGATGGGTTAATATAGAATATTGTTAGTGAAATACGTTAGTAACTTATGATATTGCTAGAATTAATAGGTATTAAAAGTCTATTTAGAGTTAGAAGAGTTTATTACCATGTTGTTGATGTCCAGTTGCAGTTCAAGAAGATCTATTGCATAACACCTGTGACTAAATTCTCTGGCTTGGGGATATGTGAGAAGGGTTATGAAATGATGCTTGTTAACATCACTGTCGAATAAAATAAAGAATAGAACGTGAATGTGTATAAAAAGACTATTACAATGTTGAAATGGTTAAATTATTAAATAATTGAACTTACTGGTCTAAGAGACCGTGAATCTGAGGACAATGAAGGTCAACGTATATCTTTGTAGCTGGAGACGCAGTAAACACATACTCTCCTATCAAATAATTTATCAAATGGTCAAATTTCCATAACAAAAATTGAAATATTAAACTATGTCAAATGAGACAGGAAATTATGATCTCAAAGCATGGAAAGGGAAAAGGGATCAACATTTAAACACATTAAAAATAATAAATGGGCCATAGCATTTGGGTATAAATTATGATGGTGAGTACGACAATTTTCTAAATTTACAAAGCAAAATTCGATTCAGATGGGCATAAAAAAAAAAATATTGCCGATTAAACTGAAAACGAACTGTTTGAATGATGAATTTAATAATTGTACCTTCATCATGCTGGATAAAGAGTGAGGTGATTGACAAAACTTGCCCAAACACACCAGCAGCGGGAAGCAAGTTCTCAAATTCATTGATCATGTTATCCCAAAAAAAGATAGTGACAACACAACCCCTATTTATTAACCGA